ACGCCCTTGGACCTCCGACTTCGCTCACTGGGATAGGCATAGTCAACCTTCAGGCCCACCAACCAGAAGGTGCTTATCGCCAGCAATCATCTCGGGGCTCGTCTTGGCCCCAATGAGTGCCCTGATGGCGCAAGCTCCCAAGCCCTGGGCTCTGGGCTGCCAAGTCGCGGCCAAGGTTTAAAGAGATAACCGATGCGATGCTCGCATATATGTGCCCAGGAGAAACTCTACATTGCTTATATGGCCCAGATATGCACACGCGTCGAGGCGGAGTGTCGCGGATGCGATTTATCAGATCCCTCGCACTACTCGTATGGAGCACGGAGTATTGAGGATCAGGACCAACAGACCCATCTTCATTGGCCTTCTCGCGCCATAAGAGGGCTTTGCATGGCCATACAGCATTCAATTGTATATGTGTATACTAAGCCCGACAACAACCTCTTGCTATTGGCCCAATCACGCTGAGGATCATACTAGTCCACCCAATATGAGAGTATCACCGTTCCGACATCGCAGGGGTCGGCCGCTATCCGAAATGATGGAGAGGGAGCTTTGATATTGCGACATCAATAGCCACTTAGAGATGGGAGGTGGATCTTCAGGTATTGCTTGGTTATGGACACAGTTCAGGCGAAAGTGTGATGTAGAGTACAGTGTAATATACGGCTGGACCTCCGATGCCTAGAGCTTGGACTTTGCGTTTTCTCTGTCCACCGGGTAAGCTGCTTGGTGAGTCACCCTCCATTTTAGGCAGCTTGACCGAGACTGCAAAGTGGAATCACCATTTTATACGCACAAGGTGGAATCGCTGATCGGCAATTTGTCGGAGAAACCAGGGCACATCTGCTTACTCGCGGCTCTGAAAACAAATCTCTCTCATTGGTCCCTTGGTGGGCAGTTTCACGCGGTATAAACACTTCTTTCAGAGATATCTAGATGTTTGCAAAGGCTTGAAATTGAGCAAATCACATACAGAACAATTTCACGATTGGCCATCATCTCCATTCGGCTCAAAAAAGCACATTCGGGTCTGTCTCTAGGCAAAAACTCGCCTAAGAAAGGGACTTCAACCTTTTTGCATTGAAAACGACCAGGCCAACCATAAAATTCCTGAAGCGAACATCACTCGAGCAGCCAATCAATAGCATGGTTCACCAGTGCTGTGCTAGTCACCTGCTGGTCCTGCAGCAGATCCGATAAACCGTGGGCGCCAGCACCTGTTTCAACGGAATAGCTTGCTTCAAATGATCCCAGTGAATCTAAACCGACAGCTGCATGGCCAGATGACTTCGACCTCGGCATCTGGCGCTCAGCGAGATTGGAGGAATGTTCTGTCAAAAATCGCACCATCCAATTGTCCAGCACAAACGAATCCGACATCGAATCCTGGCACGATTTTTGGAACTTCCGTAGTCGTGCTACCTGTACTTCATGAGTAATTTTTCAGATGCACAAAGGAGAATTCTAAACTTACCGAGTATTCAACCACAGGCCAATAAGACTTGAGATCCATCAGGTATTCGAAATTTGAGATCAGTCGCTTTCGAGCCTTGGTAAGTTCGACGTGATCGCCGCTGAACAGCAAGGCGTGGAGGTGAACACAGGAACTTATCACGGCAATATGGCCATAGATAAAGTAATTGAGATCGCATCCGTCCATGTATGTGCTGTGTTCTATAATATCAGACACAGTGTTGGCACTTGCTTTGCACTGGGCAGCTCTTCGGGCTAGTTCTGGGGTGCCGTGATCCCCGCGAGCGTCGAGGAACGGGAAGAAAAGCATCTGACGGAAATGGTGTGGGCCAATGTGCATTGCAAGAAACGTTCGACCTAGCCCTTGTTTCACTAGACATTCGATATTGGCTTCGTTGTAAGCAAGGCCGTACGGACCTTCTCATATCGCTTTAGTGCCAAAAAGAGGCCATTGTCCTAGCTCCGTTTGGGTTTTGGCGATTTGAATGGCATTTCTCATTTCTTATTTCTTATTTTTCTTTTTTTTTACGCTTTTTAATTAATTTCGGTGCGATAAGAGTTCCTTCCCACTTGGGGTTAAGGAAAATTGCATATATAGGACAAGCTCACTTTCTCCGTCTTTTTTTGTTTCTTGTCTCCTCCTCTGATCGACTTTTTCCCCGCCCTCTCGTAGAGAAGGCATACCTTGAGTAGCAACCATGTCGACCGAACGTGAGATTGAGTCCACCAAAGGGACTCAACAGTATGTTCTCCTCTCGAGAACCCTAAAATCCATCGAGCTCTGCTAATACAATGTGAAGATCTCCAGTCTACGATGAACCTGAGCACGTCACCCAGCAGGTCGTGCTGAACGAGAAGGCGAGCATGGATGCCTCTTTCGATAAGGAAAACACAGTCACCGCCGATGGTGAAGAGCCGACGTTCGCGGAGAAGACTTCTCTGCGTCATGTCGCAGAGAACCTGCCCGTCTCTGCCTGGTTGGTGGCCATCGTCGAGCTTTGTGAGCGTTTCACCTACTACGGAATGTCTGGTCTCTTCCAGAACTACATCCAGCGTCCTCTCGATGGCAGCCAAGGTCGTGGTGCTCTGGGTATGGATCACCAGGGTGCCACGGGTCTCACCACCTTCTTCCAGTTTTGGTGCTATGTGACTCCCATCCTTGGTGCCGTTGTCGCCGATCAGTACCTCGGCAAATATAAGACGATCGTTTTGTTCTGTATTGTATACATGGTGGGTTTGCTCATCCTGGTCTGCACTTCCATTCCCGGTGCATTGGAAAATGGCGCGGGTCTGGGAGGTTTCATCGTTGCGATCTTGATCATCGGTTTGGGTACCGGTGGTATCAAGAGTAACGTGGCACCCTTGATTGCGGATCAGTACAAGCGCAAGAAGATGGCCATCAAGACCATCAAGAATGGCGAGCGCGTTGTCATCGACCCCGCCCTGACTATCCAGCGTATCTACATGATTTTCTACGGATGTATCAACGTTGGTTCACTCTCCCTTCTCGCAACTCCCTACATGGAGAAGTACATCGGCTTCTGGTCAGCCTACCTTCTCTGTCTCTGCATGTTCATGGTCGGAACCCTGGTGGTGACCCTCGGCCGCAAGTACTACGTTGTCCGTCCTCCCCAGGGCTCCATTATCACCGACGCCTTCCGTGCGGTGTTCATTATGATCAAGAACCGCGACATGGACGCTCCCAAGCCCTCGTGGCAGACTGAGCGCCACGGTTCCTCCTCTGTCAAGTGGGATGACCACTTCATCGATGAGCTGAAGCGTGCTCTTGTCGCCTGCCGTGTCTTTGCTTTCTACCCCGTCTACTGGGTCGTCTACGGCCAGTTCTCCAGCAACTTCGTCACCCAGGCCGGTCAGATGCAAACCCACGGCATCCCCAACGATTTGATGCAAAACTTCGATCCTATCGCTGTCATTGTCTTCATTCCCGTCCTCGAATCTTGCGTTTACCCTATTCTGCGCCGCCTCAAGATCAACTTCCGCCCCATCACCCGTATCTCTTTCGGTTTTGTCGTCGCTTCCCTCGCCATGATGTACGCTGCCATCGTGCAACACCTCATCTACTCCGCTGGACCCTGCTACGGAAATCCCCTTTGTGACGCCTCCGTGGTTGACGGCACCGCCTACGGTAACAATGTTCACATTGCCATCCAAACTCCGGCCTACGTCTTCATCGGTGTGTCCGAGATTTTCGCCTCCGTCTCCGGTCTCGAGTACGCCTACACCAAGGCCCCTCCCAGCATGAAGTCCTTCGTGCAATCCATGTACCTCCTCACCAACGCCTTCGGTTCCGCCATCGCCGAGGCCCTGACCCCCGCCGCCTTCGATCCCGCCATCATGTGGATGTTCGTTGGTCTTGCCTGTGCTTCTTTCCTTGCCGGTCTTATCTTCTTCGCCATCTTCCGCCATTTGAACGCACAAGAAGATGAGATGAACGCCCTTGATGCGGATGACTACATGCCTGAGGCACCAGTTGTCGAAGAGCGTCGTGCTTCCCGGGCCCAATAAATATAATACTGCACTGGCGTTGGCATCTGGTTTTGTTTGGACTTTGATGCCTGTATGAGTCTTTAGATACCATACAACTGTATATATAAAACTATTATTACTAAATTAAATTAACTTGAACATTCAAATCCTTGAAACTCGAGTATACGCACGGTGTGGTTTTCTAGGCTTTCAGGAAACAACCTTGAAAGGTGCATTATCCATAGAATGGAATACCCCATACTCCGTACTTAATGTATATCTACTCAAGTATAGATGAGGCTCAGATTTGGCAATATTCGAAGCTGCTGATTGGCCATATATTGGGCTGCCTTGGAAGAGAAACCCGCGCTGTTGACTATTTTTGAACCACGACTCGGCGGTTGCACCGTTGATCCCTAAGTCGTGCAGATGCAGACCACCGAGTGAAGGTACCAGGTACCTGGCTGATAGTGAGAATCTGCACTACACCGTAGGTACCCAGTACATAGGAAATATCTGCCGATCTCAACTGTCATAAATAGTAACGTCAGCCAGGGTTCGACTCCACTGTAAGGAGGCTGTACATGCGCAGGAACGCAGATTCTGATTTCTTCCAAATAAGGGGGCCTCGAACCGAAATGAGAATTATACTCGTTACATTTTCTCTTTAACCTATAGACTACCTATAGACTACCGAAATACTAGGGAGTCGATTAATGCTTAATTCCCCTAATTTTGTCTTGCATCTCCTGAGACACCGCCGCGCTTCTGCCACCTCCACTCCTCCCGTCTCACCCTTCCTTCATCCCCTCCCCTACAACTTCACAAGACTTTTGATTTCGTATCCATCATCATGAGTGTGAGTCATTGAATCATTGCGATGAGCCCATTTTTGGAAGATACGGCTTTCTGACGCGAATTCCCCTAGTACCAGAGCTTGGGGGATAACAACCAAGGCGGCTACGGCCAGTACAACCCGTACGGAAGCCAGCAAAGCAATCCCTATGCCAACCAGAACCAGCAGCAGGGTCAGGGCTATGGCTATGGTGGTGGCTACGGTGGAGGTGATGTGGAGCAGGGAAATGGCGGCTATGGTATGTTGTGATGCATCACCGACATTGCTGACCCGCGCTAATGAACCGGCAGAGATGGGTAACATGAACCAGGGTACTTCCGGGGGCCCCACCGCCATCCTGAACAAGTGCAAGGAAATCAACGAAGGTATCACCGAGTTGACCCGCAAGCGCGAGGGCCAGCTGGTCTCCGCTCAGAAGGCTCTTTTGGACTCGAGCACCGGAAAGGAGGATCAGTCTTCGCGCCAGACCCTCGACTACATTGAGGATGAGATCAACACCGCCCTGCGATACCTGCGCGATCAGTTCAAGCGCGTCAAGGAGACCCCGGGATCCGGCGACTCGCGCGTTCAGGGTCAGGTCGAGAACGTCAGTCGTAACCTTCGTCGCGAGATCGAGGCGTACCAGCGCACACAAAGCGACTTCCAGAAGCGCTTGGAGGAGCAAGTGCGCCGTCGCTACGAAATTGCCAACCCCGAGGCTACCCCCGAGGAATTGGAGCAGGGTGTGCAGAATGTCCTAATGGGCCAAGAACAGAGCTTTGTGGTACGTTTCACGTCCATTGCGTCATAAAAGAAAAGTCAGATAAACTAACTCCATGTCTAGGTTCCCGGTACCCGCTCCCGTCAGGCAAATGATGCCCGCCAAGCGACCCTCCAGCGTTCCGCCGCCATTCGCAAGATTGAGCAGGATCTGATCGAACTCAGCCACCTCTACAACGAGGTTGCCGAGCTGGTACACCAGCAGGAGCCTGCCGTGCAGCAAATCAACCAGGGAGCCGAGGAGACACACCGCAATGTCGAGCAGGCCAACACCAAGCTTGACAGCGCTATCCAGAGCGCCAAGAACGCTCGCCGCTGGAAGTGGTATGCGCTGATCATTATCAGTAAGTCATTGTCTACCTTTACCGCCCATGGGCCAGTCGCTAACCGGTGCAGTCATTATTATTGCGATCATCGTCGGTGTGGCTGTCGGTGTCACCCAGGCCAACAAGAGCGCCAACTCCAGCAATTGATCGTTCTTTGTACGACGCCCGGCGGGGAATCACGCATCATCCCCTTTGTTTTTCCTTCTTGATTTCTCTCTTGTCACCCGCTGTTATACCACCCTTTCGCATTTCCTTCTCTCTTGTGTAAAAGCAATGACTTTCCAATCGTCTTTTCTTTGTGTCTTTGCTTCCCAGCTGTGCGCGCTGTACAGCTCCGCGCAACGCCCTTGATGATTGTGGCCCGGGGTTGTCGCGCATGGATGTATATACTAGATTGCTGCTTTGTGTTGGCCCTGTTTTGGCGCTAGAATCTATGTAATACCGTCTAATAATCGATTCCTTGCGCCCTTTTGACTCGCAATCCAAAAGCAGTGACGAGATTTGCTCTGTACTCAGTTCATTGTTCCATCATAAGCGGGGGGTATTTGACTCGATAGCCATGCAAAACTGAGGGTATCTAATTCGCTGTTCATGCCTTCTCTGTGCGCTCCTTCTCGCGTTGTTCCTCGGCCGGGGTTTTCGTCTTCAATTGCAGCGCATGGAGTCCGCCCTCCCGAGCCATCTCTTCTTTAAACAAAGCGTAGACCATGCGGTGTCTCGCGGGCTGCATCTTAGATTCGAAGGCGTCGGAAACAATTGTCACGCTAGATACAATTGTTAGAACCTTTGCAAGACAACGTGGAGCCGGACGAAGTGGCACGAACTGGAAATGAGTCTCCTTTGATGTGGAGCCCTCCATGGCAGCATGGTGCGCATGTTTATGAGAATCGTTCCGAATAACAAGGGTCGAGGGTGTGAATACGTGTGCAAGCTATTTACAGTCAGCATCAGATCAAACCACCTTGCCAGTGGAATGGGCTCACCTTGTCGCGCATCGCATCCTCCAACGGTGTCATGGTAGCCATCCTAGTGGAAACAGAGAATAAACGACGGGAAGCCAGACCCGGAAGGACACGAGGAATCATTGAGGAAGTCGAAAAGTGAAGGTAGAGAGAGAGGAAGAAAGTCCGAACGCGGGTGTTTTGTTGGTTTCCGCGGAACTCCTCATGACATCAATTTGACCGCCGTTCGCCGTTCGCCTCCATATAAACCAACATTTCCCCCTTGGGTTTCTGACAATGCTATAGAGACCAACATGTCTCTACTTTCGATATTATCGCGCTCGCGAGCGCGCATTCTCCGCGGTCCGCGAACGCCGTTCAGACTTCTGTCCACGCTACCGAACACGCATATCTTCCGCGCACTGCAGAGCCATGACCCGGACAGTTTAGCTGTGATTCACAGCGTGTCCGAGAGATCATTTACATACGGCAGCCTCATTGGCGATGTTGTCCGGGCGAAGGATGATCTTGCCCGCAAGGCCGCGAAAGGACAGGGGACGTTAGCCGGCGAGCGGGTTGCGTTCCTCGCGGAGAATAGCTATGACTACGTGGGTACTGTGATCCATTTCCAGAGAGAGGAGGAGAAGAAGAAGAAGAAGAAGAAGAAGAAGGAAGAACAAGAGACATTAATTGGAGTATAGTCACAATGCTAGCCATCTTCGCTAGCGATGCCATTGCGTTGCCGCTTTCTCCGGCTTTCCCAACCGGGGAACTGAAGTACATTCTGGATAATTCGCAGGCAAAGATGTTGCTTGCGACTGAGAAGTACTCTGATAAAGCCATGGAGATTCTCAGACAGGGGCTAGAACATGATCCCATCTTCAATGTCCGCAGTAAACTCGAGGGTACCCGTGGCGAGCCTGTCACTCTGACAGACCTGGACAAGCCATCCGCCGGTGGCATGATGCTGTATACTTCCGGCACAACAAATCGACCGGCAAGTCCATCAAGGGAATGACAGAATGACCACTAACCAGAAACAGAAAGGCGTTCTCATACCTCAATCTGCGCTAGCAGCGCAAGCATCCTCGTTATTGGAAGCGTGGAAGTATAGTCCATCGGACCGGCTACTCCACCTTCTACCATTGCACCACATCCATGGCGTTGTGAATGCTATAGTGGCACCCATCGTGGCCGGCTCGTCCATCGAATTTATGTACCCCTTCAACCCCGATCAAGTCTGGAAACGACTTGCTGCGCCGTTCCAATCGAGCTCCAAATCGCCTGTCACATTCCTCACCGCTGTCCCAACAATCTATAACAGACTGATGACAACGTTCAGCAACCTTCCCCCGGATCTTCAAAAGGCTGCTAAAGAAGGAATCTCTCCTCAAAACCTCCGTTTGAACATCTCCGGATCTGCCGCACTACCTACGCCAACTAAAACAAAATGGACTGAACTCAGCAACGGCAACGTCCTCCTTGAACGCTTCGGCATGACAGAAGTCGGAATGGCGATCAGCTGTGGGCTTGAAGACGCAGACCGTGTCGACGGTAGTGTTGGGTGGCCATTGCCAGGCGTCGAAGCACGATTGGTCGATCTCGAGACGGGAGACGTGATCCCCGAATCTGAACTGGATAGGGAAGGCGAGATCCAGCTACGTGGCGAGACCGTATTTGCCAAGTACTGGGGAAACGAGAAAGCGACCAAGGAAGGATTCGTGGACGGCTGGTTCTGCACTGGCGATGTTGCGGCGAGGAAGATCATTGATGGGGCAGGCAGTGGTAAGAGTGGAAAGTGGGCCAAGGGACCCATGTATTTCATTCAGGGACGGAAGAGTGTCGATATCATCAAGGCCGGTGCTGAGAAGATCAGTGCGTTAGAGGTGGAGAGGGAATTGCTTTCTCTGTAAGTCTAGTGTCGCTGATATTACCCGAGCTATCTGCGGATGGTACTAACGAGGCAGACCTCAAATCACCGAAGCGGCTGTCGTGGGCATTCCCTCAGAACAGTGGGGACAGAAAGTCGTCGCGGTGGTTGTTCTGAGTGACGATGCTGCGGCGTCTGGGAAGAATGGACGATCTTGGGGACCAATGGATATGAGACGCGCACTGAAGGATCATCTGGCTTCGTATAAAATTCCCCAGGAGATGAAGGTTTTGGACGCCATTCCGCGGAATGCGATGGGCAAAGGTAAGTACTATATTGATTTGCTGTTCCGGGTGTCCAGTGCTGATTTTCTGTTCTAGTCAACAAGAAGGCGCTCATCAAAGAGGTCTTTGATATTTAATGAATCGACTCTACTTGTACAATATAGGAGCATTTAAACTAGGCTCTTTAGACTTTATGTTCAAAAAGGCAAATGCACCATTTCAACTATCATGATCTCATTGTAATTTTGCACTAGTTTGCTCGCTTCCTAATCTCAAATTCGTATCATCGTAGAACCATATCCCGTTCAAGTGTCAGAAAGCTAGATCTCACGCTGGGCACTGTCGGCTGGAACCTGCGACTTAACAGTTGGGTCAAGCTTGTTCGCAACGCTCGAGTCATGAGGACCAGCCGTAGCAGTGGTACCGGAAGTGCCCGTGGCAGTTCCAGTTGGGGTGTTGTAACTGCTACCTGCAAGGCCCTGACCAGGAGCCAGACCTGAAGCTGTGTCACGAGAATGAGAGCCGTGAGTGACCGTGCCAGTACCAATACCAGATAGGGACTGGTGAGTAGTGCGGGCGTCAAGGTCTGAGTCGACACGTGGGTCGAGCTTGTTGGCGAGGTCGGAGTCATGAGGCCGAAGGTTGGTGCTCTGAGAGGCAGTTCCAGTGCTGGCCAGAGGGTGAGTGTTAGAGCCCAGGGTCGAGCTGGGGCCATGACTGCCGTGGGTGGAACCCAGAGCAGGGGTGTTGTCAGCTCCAGAGAGGAGGGCGCGGTTGTCACGGTCCGAGTCGACGCGAGGGTCGAGCTTGTTCGCGGCGTTGGAGTCGTGTGGACCAGCATTGGTACTGGTGTCATGGGTTGTCCCAGTAGTTGCCCCAAGGTTGGTGAAAGTCTCGCGACGGCCACGGTGGTCGCGGTCAGAATCAACACGAGGATCGGCTTTGTTGGCAATGTTGGAGCTATGAGGACCCGCGTTGCTACTGCTACTACCGTAAGTGGTTGCTCCAGTATCAGCTACAGACTTCGTGGTGCCGTGAGTAGTCGAGCCAAGAGTTGAGCCGTGGCCTGTATCTCCAAGACCGTGAGTGTCGGCGGTGGTTGCTCCAGCAGTGCCACTGCCATAGTCTTTGGCGGTGCTGAGGTGCTTGTCGTCCACCTCGGTATGGACAGCACGGTTGTCTGGTATGGTTAGCATGAAAGCTTATAACTGACTGAGTGATACACATACCGCGGTCACTGTCTACACGGGGGTCAAGCTTATTGGCCAGGTTGGAAGAGTGAGGGCCATGGTTAGAGGACTGAGTCGACTCATGCGAGTCATCCTTCTTGCCTGTCAGGGCTTCTTCGGCCTTGCGTACAAATTGCATGATGGAAAGTGATGAAAGATATGCTAGATAGTATGTAAGAGGATGATGAAGGAGAGTAGAGAGGTGAGGGTATCTAGATCTTTTATATCTGTGAAGCAAAGACTCTCTGATGACGTCCTGTGTACAATTCACCCCCTTTGTGCAGTGTACTACAAAGAACTTTATTTGCTACTTAAGTACAGCCTTGCAATGATTGCGGTGGAAGCTGTCCATTTGAATCGTGAAATTGACTGAATCCGGTCTCTATCCCTGAAGCAAATGTCAAAATCACGTCATAGGCAGATGTATCGCATGTCTGTATAAATATAGTCTAACTTTAGAATTGGAGAACCATGTCGCTTTCCCATGACATCAGTGTGGCTAAATAAATGCAGATCTTATACTGTCAGACACTGGTTGAGACCGCCTGGGAACTTGCAGGTCAACTATGTTACAACTTACGTATTCCCATTGTATCCTGACCAAATGGCACTCCAGGGCTGTCATTTAGCCTAAGCTACCAAGTGGCTCAAAGGTACTCATAGTTAGATAATAAACCAAGGTGACATCTCAAGGTCAGAAATGATGTAGATCAACCTTGGAATGATACTTAAGTAGTTTTATTTAGTGACTTTAAAGTTGATGAGGAACACTGGTATAGACAGTGGCTCATTATTCCGACATGTGCACATTGCCATCTGCAATGGGTCTGTTTCACACCAAGTCTATTGCGCTGGCATGAATGGCATTTCGCAATCAAACCTGGATGCAAACCCTTAGAAGCTAAGTTAATTACTTAAGTAGTTTAATAGGATTTCAGTCCCCTGACTATGTTTTCAAAATTTAATAAAAGCCCTGGATTTGGCACTGGGGAGGTTTCGGACTACTTCTAAAGTTGTACGAGGATTGGAACTCAATGCTAGTGGTATCTCTCGACTGGATGATGCTGTGTAGATCCACCCATCTCACTGAAATCGAACTTTAGAAGCTGATTTCGAGTCGACAATCTTCTGTTCTCAATCTCAAATTTCACACTTGCGGCTTTAACCCTCTAGAAAGTGCAATATCGGCAGTGCGTATGTGCTCGATCTCAGTCTCCACTATCAAACCTTCATACGGAAAATTTATCCCCTTTTCCTACTTCCCATTTTATATCGTCACAAAAGAATCATGAATAACCTGGAATGGATCTAGGACCATATCCATTTCTGTCTTCTCTTTTTGCCTCTCTATTTGCCACCATTCAGAGCACGTGATTCGATCTCGCCAGGCTTGGCACTTCAGCGTACTAGTCTCTCACCAAATCCCGAGAGACGGAAAAAAAAAAAGAGGGAAAAAAAGAGTGAAAAAAAAAGGGAAAAAATAAAAGAAAAATGCACCATTGGATTGTGTCCCCTTGGAATCTTTTGAAAATATCACACCCAGCACTTTGAACAGCTAGTTGACCTCTGAAACATGGGGGATTCGCCCTTCTCTTCCGACGGTCACTCGAGCCTCATACTTCGGCAAAATGAGACTCAGATTGCCATGTCCGGTCCGACCGACGAGCCTACCGAAGCCAATCGCTTGAGAACGATACAGGCTTGTGGGTCATGCCGTGCAAAGAAAGCCAAATGTGATGGCCGCCGTCCAAAGTGTGCGACTTGTCAGCGTCTTAATCGGGTTTGCACCTACACAGGTTCCAAACGGGAGAAACAACGACTTCAACTTCAAAACCTGCAGAAAAAAGCCCAGCTATATGAGACATTGCTTGCGGAGATTATACCTCAAGCAGCTTTGCGCGAGAATACATCCGTTGAGAATGTTTTCAAGGTTGGCCTCCAACCCGACCCACTCTTGTAATTGATTGCCATAACTAACGATGGAATAGAGACATCTCCAGCAGTCTCCAGAGATATTTGTCGATCTCTTCAATTCTGAGTCTCTGAGCAGGAACCACATCCCGACGCCAAGCTCTAGGATCTCACTGGGTCATATGTTCTTCGAATCTACATCAGAAGATGCCAAAAAGTTGAGACCAATTCTTAAAGAGCCACCGGTTCGAGTGAACTCAATTGACTTCTGGACTACGCTCATTCCAAACGACACTGCAAGCCATCTGTTGTCATTCTATTTCACGTGGGAAAATCCAACCTGGAATTTGATTGACCAAAGCGCATTCCTTCGGGACTTGGAGAATCACGGCAGAGAATCCTGTTCTCGTCTATTGGTCCACGTCTTGCTATTTTTTGGAATTGTATGACTCTGATGTCATCCCTGCGGTTTGAACGAAGTATCCTAACGCTTCACAGAGCTTTTCATACCGGCTGAACCATATAACAGACCGAAGAGAAGAAAAGGTGCTCGGGCAAAAACTGTACGACGAAATCCAGCCGCTCTGGGAAAATGATAAAAGGAAACGAGATCTCCCAACCATTCAGTCTGGCATTTTGCTGGGACTCCTTTCTTGTACCTTTGGCCTTGATCGACTAGGTACCCAATTCATCATGAATGGGGCAAGATCATATTCCCAGCAGGGCCTGCATAAACCTGTGGATGAAAAACACAACGCTCAAGTGGATCTTTCTGCCTCGGAGTTATCCCAGGAAATGGTCTCATGGGCGATCTTTGATGTCCAGGCGTAAGTGCCCTTTACCCCCTCGCTTGTGAGCTTGCTGACTTCGGAATAGACTGGCGTCTCAAGTTTACCGAAAGGAATCACCTTGGCCAACACCACCCTCTCTCCGTTGCTCACTTCAGCAATCAGAAAGACTCGACGAGGATGAAGAATGGACTCCTTATCCTTTCGAGACACCGGTCTCTCGACCGTACTATTATACCACGCTCCAGTTTCGAAGTGCACTGGCGGCTAGCGTGAACGAAATCGCTTCCTTTTCCCTTCAACTCGGGGAGCTGCATATGAGCAATCAGGATCAACAATACTGCTGCCAGATCTTGCAAAAGCTCGTGGATTGGAAAGCTAGGTTGCCACGGTCGGTCACGCCCGAGCATAACACCACACCTCATGTTCTCTGTCTACAGTAAGTCGTCCATGCCAATGTCGATTCGAAATGGTCACTCACCAAGCCAGCTTCTACTATCAAGCCACTTTGATCTCTCTAGGCACCCTCATGACGACGAAGTCAGCTCCCACACTGGACTCCGACGGAGATGTGAACAAGGTTGACTATGAAAATGTCAAAGACCAAGCCATGGAGACCATTGGCTCTTTGATTCTCCTGTTCAAACATCGCCATGGCTGGAAGTCCGTGCCGATAGTCATGCTCCACTACTTTTGCCTTGGAGGCGTGCACGCAACCTCACGACTCGACGCCATTGACCTGAAATGGACCCTTGTGCTCGAAAGCTGTGTAGTGGGGCTGTGGCATATGAGTCTCGGATGGGGTCGATTATGCAAAGCATTCCTACGAACGATCGAACTTGTGCTCAAGTCGAATGCGCCCGAGCCGAGTCTTATCCCGACCAAGGTGGCTGCTATCTTCAAGCACCTGAATACTGACCTGTGGTCGGTGAAGGATATCGATTCCCTTTCGGCGGATTATTTCGTGCAGCGGGTCAGCAAGAAGGTCAACCCCTCCGCTGTGAGTGGACAGACCTTGGAAGCTCTCATCCGCGCGATGGAGAATCTGTGATTATCTTCTATTTGCTACTCCGTATATTGTACAGAGTACGAGGGGCTCGTATAGCTTGATTGCGATCTTCCCCAGTCTGCATTACTCCCTGCACACATCGACCCGCAGCACATGTAGTACCTGCAGATGTCTCTCTACACACTCTATGTACTGTTTTCAATTATCCTCAAGAAGTATAAGATCGACAGATCCACCTGCTGATGTCATCAACCGACGCATCCGGATCAACAGCCTCAAGCCCTCCTTTTCAGCCCAAAGCGCCAAAAAGCAGTGCCACCCAACTTAGTACAAAGTTAGTACAACTTTACATGGAGTAACTATACTCCGTCAGTACTTGGGCTTTAATCTAACTATTGCTTTAGTAGGATTGGAGATCCTTGCTTGGCGACCCCTGGCTTGAGACCTGAAAATCCCTTGCGACCAATAAAACAAGCCGCACCCCCTCCGATTTCAACAATTTTAGATCTCAAGATTTTCCCAGGGGTCGCATAGCATGTGGATTATCTCATTCTGGGTGTTCCCCCTCATCGCGGGATGCGTGTGGATAGGTGAGAACGATCTCATTCATGTCGCGTGATCGTCATCAGCGATTCACCAAGCTCAACAGCTAACCCTACTCATAGCTACGCTGGTCGCCATGCTTGGAGCTTGGGCGGCTGATGGGAAGCCACATTATACGACCATGAGCCATGGACAGACCATCCCGTGAGTTCAATACTCCCCGACTGCACACGAACGCGACTAATGCAAAGCAGGTACATTTCGCATATCGGCGCCGAAGGTGTCAAACCGCTCTTTATCGCTGGCAGTGCGGTCACAGTCGTTTTCATGGACCTCTCTCTCTTAGCGGAGCGTTGGCTTCGACACTCCGGTCAATTGCTCAAGAACAAAGGCCGGTTCGACAAAGCCTGTGCCATTGGATCCATTGTCTTCTCCATCACCGGAGCTCTGGGGTTGATCCTCCTGTCTATCTTTGACGCAAAGCGTCACCAACACCAACATTATGGCTTCCTTGTCATGTTCATGTTAGTTATATAGTACCCCCCGGTCAATTCCCGCAATTACTGACTCCAAATCCACCAGTGTGAGCTACGTGATCTGCGCCGTTCTCGTTTGTCTAGAATACATTTACATCGGTCGATACTACGCCCCACAAGCTCGGATCTTGCTCGTCAGTTTTGGGATCAAGGCGCTCTTTGTGGTCGGTGAAATTGGCGTTGCCATTGGATTCGGTGTGTGTATGGGAGCCAAAACGAAGAACAGGAAGAATGTCGCCGCTGTTCTGGAGTGGGGTATGCATTCAATCCACCATTTTTATGGTCCATACTAACGGAAATAGTTGCGGCCCTCATCTTTGCATTCTTTGTCTTTTCATTTGTGGTTGATCTATTACCGTCGGTGCGGACGAAGAAGCGTGTTCCTCAGGGCGAGAAGTACACTCGACCGACTGATGGCCCTGTCCCAGTCGACTTCTAATTTCTATATTATACCATTTAATTCAATATAATAATTAATCTTATTCTCTACGAGAAGAAAAAAACCAAGAAAAAGGTCTAGAGCCCCTGAACTTTGGTCAAGAAATGTGGTGACCTCATACATTTTCACCTTAAGAAGCACCTTTCGCCCTGAAAACCCGCAGACCTACCCAAGTGATATTTCGATTTTCAAGTTTATTATAATGTCAAACTTCTACGAACATCCGTACGGGACAGTTTCAACCCTAGCACACATACTGCAGTGCATCAGTTCGATTGTGGTCCTCGGCATCACGGCCTGGGCAGTCCGTGAGACGAAAACCCTCACTGTGATCTTCTCCTTGGTGATAGTAAGTTGCCCCCGTTCTATTCAGACATTTCTATCTATCTAACTTCATCATTATTTATGAAGGCTGTTCTGACCCCTATCGTCAATGGAATAACGCTGAGCACCAGCTGCATCGCCAACCGGTATAGATGGCACGTCCTCCCTTTGATATTGACGGATGCCGCGATCTCGTACCTGTGAGAAAAGATTCCACTATAAGCTTGACGAAAAACTCACTGTTCACTAGTTGGCTCACCTCATTCATTTTCCTGGCTGAAAACTTCAACCAAGTGAGCTGCACTGTCCATCTCTGGAACAGGCAGACAGTGTGCAGCCGGAAGTATGCTGCTGAAGCATTTAGTTTCATTGCCTTGTAAGTCATATTTTTTGTTCTTCAATCGATGTGACCATATACTAATAATACAGCTTCACTTCGTTTGGTGCATTGCTATTCGAGGTTTTGTACCTCTACAGCCACCGGGATGATCTTCCAATGAAGGAGAGGAAGAATGGACATGAACAGCTAGAGCAAAACCTCCAGTCTGCCGGTGTGATGCACTGAATGATTAACGTTCTAACTAGATCTGGGCTGCATGGATGCTGTAAGCTGAGAAGGGAAATGCGGCATGGGGCCTCTCTGGTTATCTTTTAATTATCTAATTGACGCCTTTTGGAAATGCATATAATACAGTAATGTACAATTGGGCCTCAAGCCCATTCACCCGTCCTCTCAAATGGCTTCACAAACCGAGTCGTTTCAAGGGTGACTTGGAAATTAGCCATATCAACCGCTGTGATGCGGGCTTCAACCAGACAAAAGACGCCTAGCTTGTCTTTATCGGCAAAGTCCTCTGGGATAGTCACGGTGCAGTTGAGACCGAGGTTGGCGATGACTCCCGCATACTCTTGATCGAGGTGTTTGGGCCTGTTGCGGGGTGAACGTAGAACACAAGGGAATGTGTCGGGAAGTTCGCATTCGGCGAAATAGAAAGCGCGGAAAAGAAGCATGCAAGCCCAATGTTGGGTGGAGTATGTATCAAGGTAACGGAGATGTGCACGGAGAGGCTGAGTGTTGGTGAGATAGGCATCGAGGATAGGTTTGGAGAAGGGCAGGACGGGGGTAGAAGTGGAAGTAGAAGAAGACTGGGTTAGATCGATTGCTTCTTCCGTGCCAGCCAGATCGCCTTCGGGATCCGGGCTGTCTGCCAGAGCATCGAATTGACGGCCGTGCTCATGCTCAAAACGCAACGCAGCCTCGATCTGGTAGTGTGCAATAACATCGGTGTACCGACGTAGCGGACTGGTACTCTTGACATATGTCGGAAGACCGAGGGCGTGGTGATGAATGGGAGAGGTCGAAGAACGAGCCAGCGGGGCACTCATATCATAGAAACCCTCGCCACCAAACTGGTTGATGTTCCTGCTGGTGACACGGCCGTATTCTGGATCGTACCAGGTTCCGTCGTAGACGACAGGGATATTGCGGGCAGCACAGAACTGACCGGAGACGTGTCCTGCCATGTTCATGACAAGAGCGACCAGATTGTCTCTGGACCCATCACGAACTTCGTATGGATCGAATTTATCATGAAGGGCGAGGCGGATGATCGGGTCTCCAAGATAGTATCGTCCTTGTTGAGCTTGCATCTCAGAGGGCTCCATTCTCTCTGTGCCCGCCTGAACGGTAACATCAAGGTTTGGACCGAGGGGGGTCGAGTCCATAGCGCCATTCTTCTTGCGAGTTTCACGGAAGGCGAGCATGAGTTGTCGCAGTATGAGGAATCTATCTTTTTCCTCCGGGCGAAGAGACCCCTGGATTTTTTTACCTGGGGGTGTCTGTGGGGCAGAGTATTCGCCGCCCACAATCAGAGGCTGGGAAGATTCGTCAGATTCCGAGTCAAAGAAATCACGCAATGTTTTGTGCGTGAGGTTGATCACGTTGCGAATTGTGCCATTCTGAATTTTGCTATCCAGAAGCTGGCCTCGTAAGTTCATCTTGGCACTGAATGTGAGCACTGGCCGGCCGGCAGCCAAGCTGAAGTGAGGCTCTGTGAGAGCATTTGGAAGCATAGGATAAGTGCGTTCCGGGAGGTATGAAGTGGAGAGACGTGTAGAAGCATATTCAATGATAGGATTGTCATGCTTGATGAAAGCCGTTGGATTAGCCACATGGACGTGTACCCAGAATGTGTTGCTAGAACCTGGGATTTTCTCCAAGGATATGCCGTCATCAATTTCTTGTGCAGTTACATCGTCCACACAATAGACGGGCAAATCACCCCAGTCTTTTCTCAAGTCTTGCATGGAATCTTGCAACGGTTCTGCTGCGATGCTCTTGCATGCCTCCATGACTTCTTCCGCCTCCAAATCCTTCGCAAGCGACAATCCATGACCAGGAAGCATCAGGTATTGGTCAAGTGGGAACATGTTCTCCCAAGGTGCAATCGCCCCAATCTCTTGCAGCAACAGCCGAGTTGAAGCCTCACTTAAGCCAAGAGCATTGTACATGCCCGTCGCCCGCATGATGTGAGTTGCCGTCGATCTCAAAGAGCCAGATGGCATGATGGTGGTGGGCACAGCGTAGAGCTGCAAATATTCAATGATCATTTGATCGTTCGCATTGAACTGCTCAGTGGCCATCTCCCGGTACACCATTGGGTTTCCGTTCTCCCCGGGCTGGAACCGAGTAGAAGAAGGGCCCACGCTGGACATTATAGTCGGTGATCGAACTTTTCTGCTCAGGCGGATCAACCTTTGTGCCTTAGAGAGGAATTGCTGCATTGGGTGATCGTTCATTGCCTTGTGCGTGGTCTTTGCCATAACCGCCCGGACGCAATGCTCTTGGTGCTCATGAGTCCAGTCGATAACTTGCTTGACAACATTGGCAATTCTCTTTGGCTGCACCACATACATGTTGCTGTACAATGAGCTTGAGTCTTTCTCCACCAGAAAAGGGTCCCGGCGAACAGCTTGGTGAACGGCAAATAAATTGACGCTAGTTAGCTCGTGTTCTTCGATACCAAGAGTGTTCATGGTCAGTTGTTCGAGACTCAGGCGAAGAACTTCTGTGTCATCAGCCACCTTGTTGTGTAGGTCATCCAGGGCTTTTGAATTTTCTCTGTAGAACGCCAAAATGTGTGTTTTGAAGTTGTTCATCATATCCAACAGTGGAGCACCTAATGGCCGGGGCAATCCACCCTCGGGGGCGAGTTGAAGATCCTCACTCACAATAGCTTCGGTACTCGGGAACCAAGGCTTCAAGGGCTCGAGCAATTCTGGCGGAGCAAATCCCTTGATGATGTAGTCAAGCTCCATATTGGAGCAAATGCGCCAATTTCCGTTGACACTATAGAACTGTTTTTGCTTGTGCACAGATCGCACATAGATTGCATAATTGAAGACCCCGTCCGCATTTAAGCGGGCGACAAGATCACCCGGCTCAAGATGTTCGCCCTCAAATTCCTCTATGTGCAGACTCTCTTGGTTCGGTCGGTTTGGATCACCCCAAAGATCCGCCGCGTCTCGGCCGTTTGGCATGTTGCCTTGGGTTGGGTTGGGCAGTTGGGTTGTTTGAGCGTCGCTTGTTTTGCGCACAGGATCCAAATCGTTGGGATTGACATCCTGCCATTTCCGCAGGTATTCTCTGATGTCTCTATGGATTTCAAATTCGGATTTGAGGAGCAGGTTGCTATCGATAGCAGTAAGGGGAGGTTCTTCGTTATCAGCCGACTGCTTCTGAGACCAGGTAATGATTAGCTCGCATTCTGCGTGACAGAGTTCCAAACCTACCTCGTTATTTTTGTGAGCGGCTTCAGTGGAATCTATTGTTCTCGATCTGAAGAAGCGTCGCCCTGAGGGCAACGGGGAAGTGGCGGGCGCATTGACGATGAATCTGGGGCCTGTGTGTGTCCATGTGCCGCGCAGATGAGAGCTGCTGCCAGCTGCTAGCTTCTGCAAAGCTTTCAACCTCGTAATTGACATGACAAGATCTGAATCGTGGCTCAGATTGATCTGTACAATGTTTCTCGAAAACTGGTAAATTCTGCCCGCAATGGCGATACCGCCCAGGGCGGTATCCGAAGGGTCTCGTGACTGCCGAGAGCATCCCACCAATCACATCCCAGAAAAGCCTTAGAGAAGTGTAAATGTAACAGTCAACCAGTGTCCAGGCATGTACTCCGTACTTGGCACCCAAAAGTCTGTCAAAAGTAAAAGAGCTGAAGAGTTGTGTTGGGAGAGGGGTGGTTTGCCCCCCGGCCCGTTTGTGTACGAGTAGATAGCTAGCCCGCTCCCTCCTTCTCTTCTTCCTTCTCTCGCCCGAGTCCCGATGAAGCAGCATCGATTCGTTCTATCCGCCTTTCTCACTTGGCCTATGGGCTCATCAAGTTGGCTCTAGGATGCTAGGGAGTGTGACTCTGCAAATCCCCCGATTGTATACATTGCTCTTTGAAGGACCGAAGCCTTATGATCAGCTATGGCTCATCGAAAAAGACGCCAGTCAGAGGCCGATCATATTGGATCAAGCATCCTTCATGCAAAGTAATCCGATCCTATCTCGTCGGATTGGCTCCTACGGCATGAGTTTATCAATTGAGAGACGTTCACAAAAATGGATTAGACACATTCGTGTTTTCCGCTCACGATCACCACCAACCCTTCTGCCGATGGTTGATATCATGCTGAGTGCTATACTTTGTGGGAAAATGCCAGATAACCGATTGACTGCACAACAGGACAACTCTATATTCTTGCGACTTGGTACAATCTTGTGACTTGGTAGACTTACCTCCAAATCATCCATCCCACTATTCCACCACGGAGTACTTCAGAATGAAGGGCAATTGAGAGCTACCTGAACAACCACTGATTCGACGGCACTCGTGTCATGAACTATAGAGGGGAGCGAGCTACACTGAATCCAAGACACGCGGTAGCAGATATGCTGTTTCAAGGCGCAACCCGACTGCAGGACTTCACGGTTCAGCATCACGTTTGCTTCAACTAGACCTCGACTGGTTTCGATAGTATCGCGGCAATTGAGACCAGTTTTGAACGGCGTGATGACACATGTAGATGAAAAGTTGGACACCACCCTCGCCTGTACTCCGTACGCAAGACTCTTTCTACTTCTAGTAGTGCCAAACAATTGCTTCATTGGTCACCGTAACCGATGACCGTTGCACGCGAAATGACCCATCACATCACGACATAACGGAGGGGTTGAATGGCCTCGCTGCACGCTTAGACATCGAAGTTGGCAATTAACTCGCCCTGACAGATTTCAGGGCTAGTCCCATGCGATCGAATCACCTTTTCGTGAGTGTGCTAGTGCTTTTCCATCCTAACCGAAGTCATGACGAAGATCCTTATGGTTCTTTTGGCAGCAGCGGGCAGGTCTAGCGTATTCGCTATCGTATACGGATAATGGGATACGAGTACTCATCTCGTACAGATGTCCTCCGTGCTCCATAACTACTCGTACACCTCGGCCAAGAGTCGGAGCGGATCCGATCCATGAGGCAGCCTCGATGGAACAAGGGGTTGAACATGCGGATCGACAAAGATCAAAGTTGACAGGTTGTGAACATCCTTTCCTCGCCGGTCTAAGCGAGCTGACTTGGGAACCAGGAACACAAACCTTTCAAGGAGAACCCCTGCGAGTTTCCACACTACTGCATTCCCGGTAAACTCACAGGTCGATCATTCCGCCTGTCTCACCTCATCGCGCCCCGCTTAACTTGGCGCAGTGAGGAATAGGAGTGATTCTTGTGAAAGTTGGTGTTTCTGTAATTTCCTCGCTATGAGTATTATTGTCGCACTTTGCATTCAATTTCCAACTAATCTGGCTTCAGGCTCGGTTTTCATCTCAACTCAATGCCAACCCCCCGAGCCAAAGTCAAAACTTTCGGAGAACCATCTGTCGATCGCTGGGTCCCTATGCCGGTGATAACATGGGGCATTACCGCAAATAGCCAAAAAGATCGTCAAAACGCCGATTCAACGTTGACATCTTGCTTTGGCATTTGAATTATTTGATTGGAGGTAATACTCCGTATGGAGTTCTCTGCACACAATGTATAACTAATCGCTGCACATGAACACGCAGATCGGTGCAAGATGGTCGTACGCCGAGTTTTGATCCGAGCGCAAACTTCAGACTGCTTTTTTTTCATGTCGAGTTCCCGAGGCTTCAACTTTCCAGCGCCATGTGCTTCCCATTCCACTCCGTTACATGACACAGATTCTCCACCGAGCAACCTGAGATGGAAGGCATACCTTCACCAAACAGTGTGGGGCAGTCCCTATGGTCCATACGAGTACATAAAAGTGTACTCGTCCATATGATTGAGGGCTGATGGTAACCAAGATCGGGGCTGGGTCTCGCCTAAAAGTAATAGTGGACCCCTGGGTCCGTTAGCTGAAGAATGGCTCTGCGGAAGATGCCTTCCCGAACACGGTGGAGCTGGCCTATCCACTACTAAGGGCTTGAGGGATAACCTCCGATCAGGAGTGTCTGGGTCATGCTAACTACTAGTAAAATTCAGAGCTATATATGGATCCCGCACCTGTTATTCTTGAATCCAGTAGTATTTAAAGGCTTTCATCCTTCTCAATTTTGTTTATACTGAAGTTTCTTCACTTTTTTGTTCCTAAGTTCTAAAGTTGGAACCATATTTTACTTAATACATATTTAATACTAATCCAGTCCGTATGTTCGGAAGCAACGGTTGGCGCGCCTTAGGGCTTTCTCTTGCCCTAGCACCGCAGGCGCTGGCAGACATCTGCGCGACCCTTAAACAAGGCGGCATTGATGTCGAGTATCCTCTCACATTGGACTATTCCAATGATCTCACCAAGTATTGGTCTGCAGCATGCGGTGACCTCAAGCCAACCTGTATCGCAGCCCCATCCAGTGCAGCAGAGATGGCACAGGTGATCAAAAATCTCCACGACGTGGAGACTCTCTTGTTCGTCTTACCCTTATTACAGTGATACTGAGAGCTAACATCAGAACAGCGCGGTCAAGAGTGGAGGTCACATGCCCAACAATGGATTTGCGAGTATCCAAGATGGTCTGTTGGTTTCGACAAAGAATCTTGATCAAGTCGACTATAATCCGGATGATCATACCGCTATCATTGGCCCTGGTCTTTCATGGGAAGAGGCCCAAAAGGGTCTTGATGGAACTGGTCGATGTGTTGTTGGTGGACGTCTTGGAGGAGTTGGAATTGGAGGATATATGCTTGGAGGCAAGTCGAGCTGGTTCGGGGTTTGAATCTTAAACTAATGGCTTCTAGGTGGCATGAGCTTCTTGAGCACCCAATACGGCTGGGCTGCCAACAACGTTGTTGACTTTGAAGTCGTCCTTGCCAACGGTACTATTGTTCACGCAACCGAGAAAGAAAACACAGGTAAGCGATGGTAGAGTGCTCAAAGAATTGGATCAACAGCTTACTCTCCACAGACCTCTTTGCAAGCCTGAAGGGCGGAGGCAACAACTTTGGAGTTGTTACTGCATACACCATGCAGACTCACCCCCAAGATCACAAGGTCTGGGGTGGTAACTACATTTTCACGGCCGACAAAACCCCCCAGCTTCTAGAAGCCCTGCGCAACTTTGTTGATGAATATCCCGATGACAAGGCTGCGATCATTCTGACATCGGAGCATGGCCTTGCTCTCAATTTGTGGATCATGTTCCTCTTCTATGATGGCCCCGAGCCGCCTGCGGGTGTCTTTGACGAGTTCACTGCCATTGATCACACTTCAACCACCAAGACTTTTGATACCTACTACGATCTGCTCAAACATAACGACTTCTTCATTCTTCAGTGAGTCGTCTCCATTCATATTCCCACTGCATGCCTACTAACTAGCAACTAGTGGCCAACGCTATACCATCGCCACGGAGACTACTCCTCTCCCCAACAAAACCGTGGGCTCGGGAGTACTCCAGGAATACTACGACCACTGGTTCAATGTAACCAACTCAGTACTGGAAGTGACCGGAGTTCTTGGCTCAATTGCATTCCAGCCCGTTCCCAGATCCTTCTCCCAGAAAGCCAAGGACCGCGGCGGAGTAAGATAAATCCCAGAGACACCCAATACATCTCACTAACAAGTGTCTAGGATCTGCTTGATGTTCCCTCTGACCAACCCTACATCTTCATTGAACTCGATTTCTCCTATGGTCTGGCGATCGATGACGAGAAAATCGACGCCGCCAATATTGAACTTTACCAGGGACTAGACAATTTGGTTCAGAAGAATGTCGACAAGGGTAATTTGCCCGATGTATACCGTCCTTTGTTCATGAACGACGCATATTTCCGCCAAGATTACTGGAGTCGGATCAGTCCAGCATCCAAGGAATTGGCTCTCCAGACCAGGAAGCGATATGACCCTGATGGATTCTTCCAGAAGCGGACCAGCGGAGGCTGGAGGCTGAATTAGTCATTTGATTTATCCCAACTATATATTCAACCATATAATATTATCCTTGGATATTTTCCAGCCCTTGCGGTCATCCCAAGGTTATTCGATCTACTATTACCACCAAAAATATCGTTCCACTGTGATGATTTCACCATTTCTCGCCCCTGGTCCAGGTTTCATGTGGCGATCGAAGCGTCCAAATATTTGGATATTGAGAGAAGACAGCACAACTTTAGAAAATATACTTAAGTACTCCTGGGCAGATTGCTACCCGAAGCTTTCAGTCCTTGTTTACACTTCAATCCTAAATCCATGAATGCATCACTGGGGGACTTTCAAACGCTTCTTATTCAAGATGACCAAGTATTCATTCCAACTCATTTGGAGTTTCACCGTCAGAAGCGCACACCAATATCACTGTGAGTCACTGCTGACTTAGACGGATTTGATTTACATCAAAATTCGGTGCTCAGGTGCATCGTTGAAGATCCGCGCCTATATGTCGCCGCTGATATTGAAGATAACTTTAGAATTACAGAAGCGGCTCGGAAAATAGACACGTGGATATTATAGGCTTAGAAAAAAAGGCATGAAACAGGATCGACTATGCATAGCTCACAAAACTTTTTAAATTAAGCGCCTGTGTCAAATCTATGTTGGGTCGTATAACGAATGGCTGAGAGGCGCCCGGAGCAGGTTAGGGTTTCCTCCCAAGCGCCGATATGCGCCGGGGTGGAACCGCCACTATTCTCATCTCCACAATGATAGTTAGTTAGAGATTATCTTTAGTATCACGGAAAGGTAGCTGGAGCTCTTGCATCTTTACCATTCATGCTGATCGCCGTATTCGGCAGACAGCTCAAAGCGACTTCATTCGCTGGGCCCTGTTCCCCAGACAATCTGTAACACAAATCATAGCCTGCCGAATCATTCTGAGGTCTAGATCTCAGAAATGTGACCCGACCTGGTCTAGAATCGGGGATCTGAGGTCATTGTCAAAGGAGCTGCTTTGTTGAATCGGTATAAATAGTTAGGCCGTCCCAGTCTAGTCTTCAATCTGACAAGCAGCTTCACTTTCATTCAGAACACACTCCCTTTGTTCTTTTCTGGCATTTTTCTCTTTTATTCAAGTAATCAAAAGCCTTTACCTTCGACTATATCTACTACCATCACTCCTTGATCTTTCACCCTTCGACTCATATATACCCATAAAGACTCGAACCCCATTCCTTCAATTCCGTCAACTTTACCAATTTGCTATTCGCGATATCAAAATGGCGCCTCGCTACGGTGCCCTCGGTGCAACCTTTCTGCTGGCTCGCATCTTCCAATCCTGCTGTCTCATCGCGGCCATTGGTATGACAGCCAAATTCATTAGCGTGATAATTTCCAACAACGGCACTCCGCCTGATATCCTAATCGGCACGATCAGCGTGGTATGTCCTCTGCTCTCACTCACCTATCCCCTAGGATATGGCGTTAATATAAGAGTCTCACTAACAATTTCGCTTGCAAATAGACGTGTATTGCTGTGATCTACTGTGTCATCACGACAATCCTGTACATGGATGACATCCTGCCCTTCCTGATAATCGCCGTCTCGGACCTACTAGTGCTCGTCGCACTGATCGTCGTCGCTGTTGTCGTTGGCAAGCCACTTTCGTATATGAAGTGCTCAACTCTAGCTGAGCTAGGTGATTCGGATGCTACCCTTTATGCATTTGCTTCACGACTGTCGAGTTATATTGCGAACATCACAGGGAAGATCGACTATGTTGCCTTCATTGGGGCTTCGAAGGCGATTTGCCTTGAGATGAAGGCTGTCTGGGGATTGAGCATTGGACTTTGGTGAGTCTGTCTGAGTCTTGGTATTGAAGGGTGGTATACTGACTTTTATTCAGCATCTTGTTTTTCTTTTCTTCCATCTGCAGCATTTTGCTCTGGCAGCAGAAGAAGAAGGCCGCTGCCACCAAGGAAGTGGAGTAAGCACATACCGAGGCATCTGCCATTGTGCCTCGGGGGAGCTATAAGTATACGAGATTCTAGAGAGAAGGCTGTGGGGGTCCGGTATCAGGTGAGGTGGACTGGGTGTGACTTCAGGGGAGTCAGTGATCTACTTTTGTCCTTTTGTAATCGTTATAGCGTATGCATTAATCATCTGATTTTGAGTCCAACAAATTGAATGGCAGTCACATACATCAACAAATATCAGCAAAGAAGTTACCGATATCAGAAGCCAATCTAAACATGAAACTCCAATAGTAGAAAGATCCCCAGTTTTTATCCCGAACTCACAGGTGGAATCACCGCCACCTCTCCACCAGCTTCAATCACCACATCCACATCCTCCTCGATATCAACGTATTCCCCATTCAGACTGATACCGCAGCTAGAGAGGACCTTGGTGCCAATTCCGGGGTACCGCTTCTCGAGCTCATCAAAGAGAGTTGAAAGTTTCTGCGGGGCAGGTAAAGATTCCGTGTTTTTCGAAGTAAATTGAGACGCTGAAGCGAAGTAATGGATTGTAAAGGTGTCTGACATGATTGAGATGATAGTCTTTGGAGCCAAATGAATTGAAAGCGAGAGAGTGTGAAGAGGAAAGAATATTTCGGAGTTGCGATAACAGCGGGGTAAAACGCGGCAGTCTCCGAAGTGTCAAGGGCTATGGCTATTTACAATGCGATATGTCTCATCTATAGACTACTTTGCAGGCTCTTGAATGCGCTCAGTAGATCGCCTCTGAGATCCTCCCAGTTCTCTAATCCGACACTGATTCTCAACAACCTCCGATCAACCGTAGCATCCGACATAGTCCTCCACTCGATAAGTGTCTCAACACCTCCAAGACTAGTGGCATGCTGGAAGAAATGTAGCAGACTAGGCAAATTCCGTGCGAAAGGCTCTTCTTTCATATTAATGGCAAAAACAGGCCCGAATCCATTCGGCATCTGCTTCTTCAGCCAATCCCCTCCGTCCTGCAGCGAGGCATGGTAAATATCTTCGAGAACAGCCTGCACAGCTGCCTCGTCAGATCCCGGGGCTGGGTTTTTCGCATGCAGACACGCATCCAACCAAGACACCAACTTGGTCGCATTCTCGCTTTGACGCTGGACGCGGACCTCAAGGGTTCGGAGACTACGGACGCCGAGCCAGGATTCCATATTGCCCATGACAGAGCCGATGAATAGACGATCGGTTTTAAGCTGCGCGGCCCACTCTTCGTTCTTGGTTGCCAGAACACCGGAGAGGAGGTCAGAGTGGCCGCCGAAATACTTGGTGCCGGAGTGCATGATGATGTCCGCGCCGAAATCGAAGGGTTCTTGAAGGCCTGGCGGGGCGAAGGTGGAGTCTACGATAAGGATCGCTCCGCGGGAGTGAGCCTTGGTGGCGTAGGATGCGATATCGAAGGCTGTTCCATTGGGGTTGACTGGTGTTTCCAGGAGAATGACGTCGCCCTTTTCGAGAGAGTCGGCAGGGCAGTCGAGCGGAAGCTTCTTCAGGCCTGTATTGCGAGTGAAGAGGGCAATCACGCCATGACAGCCGTGGTAGCCATCGCCAATGGAGATGTTACGCGGGTTGAGGAGTGTCAAGGCACCGTGGAGGGCCGAGAGACCCGAAGAGTAGCTTACGGCATGACCATTGAGCAGGGAGGAGAGGACCATCTCAAAACGAGTTGTATTTGGCGCGGACATGCGTGAGTATACATGAGAGGTTGGGTCGGGGGCGGACTACTTGGTCAGAGAGAGAAAGATCAAGTAGCAAACGTGGTTTCATACAGTGGCATCGGCGGCCGGGACTAGCTTAGAGGGATCATTTGGGTAACGAAATGTGGTGGAGAGATGCAGGGGAGGAGAGACATCGGTCACGACATTAAGAGCATCGTCGGCATGAAGGGAGCGCGTGGAAGCGCCCTGAGAAGACATGGTCGAGTATTGCTATGTTCGAATGTACAACGTAGGGGGGTTCAGATATAATACACCCTCCGACAACGGCCCGGTGAGGGGAACCACACGTGATCAGAGTCACATGAGCGGGGCCGGTTATCATCGGCGAATAGAGCCCATTCGAGATGGCTCTCGCACTGATCCAGGTAGAGCTGCTTTGAAGGTAGCACGGGCTAGGTGATGTTAGCGACATATCATCAACATTCGAAGGAGCCAACTTACTAGCTTCAGTATCGAAAGTAATTGCAATGTCGTCATGTTCAATAGGATACTCAGGCATATCAAGACAAACAAAGTTCGAGACGGGGTCTTCGTCCTTTCTTGGGAGAGCGAATTTGGCATCGACCATGCGAATGCCAAATTTGCCAGACCGGCCGAATGACTCCATGATATCTGTGCCCTTCAGCACAAAGTTCATACAGGTTCCATGCTGGAATTCTCCAAAGAAGGCAAGCAGTTGAACGACCTTCTCCTGTCGAACGATCTGGACTCGAGCCAGAGAGGCTTCCCATTTCTTGTAGATTGGAACCATGCTGCGCCGACGGGAGATCGAGAACGATGAAGCCATGCTAGATTCGTCAGTACCGAGTCCACTGGAAAGTCGGACTTCACTTACCCGTCGTAAAGAACCTGGAAGCCGGTGACTGATGCTTCAAAGGCATGAAGGTCTGGACAAAGATCAGTTCATGAACTCGTAAATACTAGAGGTTGAGCATACCCTGCATGGTAGGGAAGTCGAGGCGGCGAATCATGGGTTTAGTGGTAATCTTCTCCAGGAGTCCTGCTAATTTCCCTGGCAGCTCGGGGGCGATGAGGTTATCCGCAAGTGAAAGTGTCATATCCTGCTGTGCAGGGCGGAAGAGACTCATGCTGGTTGGACGCTTAACATCCAAGCCGATTTTCAATTCACCAGGTCCTAAACACATTTAGCAAACTGTCAATACCCAATCCAGACATCGAAACCCACCCAAGTTGATGCGATCTGTAACAGAGCCCCATTCAGTCGCAACAAACGCTCTCAAATTTTCGGAAAGAATTGTTGGGCCATATCCATGATCAACATAGGCATGCTCCTGGTCAATAACGCATACGCTCCCAGCGGGGAACTCCAGATGTTTGACAGAGGGGCGGCCGCTGAAGTGGTCTTCAGGCTGTTCAATGCAGTAGGATGTAAGGGCGTACTCAGGGGACTTGAGTTCACCGTTTCGCGGTGACATGCCAAGCAACACTGAATGCATCTCGGCACGCTCCTCGACTTCATGGAACGTCATCAGCATAGACCTCGTACGGCCATCTTCAGTTACCTTAAGGAGGAGAGCGGGGGCACCGTCTTCGCCCCGCAAAAGACCAAACACGACTGGGGACCCATGGCCCAAAGTGTGGCGGATGCTACTCAAAGTCTTCACCCGGGGACTTGTCAGGACGGCCAACCGGAATCCACGGTGCGCACTGCGAGTACCGGTTCCTTCGGTGATCTTGACAGAACGCTCAAACAAGCGCACCCGACATCGTTCCACAGGGTCTGCAGGGAACGCCTTTGGAGTACCTGGATCCATGTATTGGAAAACTTTCACAGTATTTTCGAAAACAACGGTCTCCCCCGCCTCAGGATGGAGACTGTCCTCCGACTTTTTTGTGTACTTGACGATATTCCAGAGAGTCTTGAAGTCTTCTTCTTTAAACATGACATCCAGTTCGAACCCTCTCGGAAGCTTCACATGCATAGAGTTGGAGCGGACCTGCCAATCCACATCTTCCCACGTTGGACCTTGCTTGCGGTCGGATTGAATCATTATGTTGACTAGTTGACTCTGACTGGTGATAGCAGCGCAAACATACCAATCCGCTCGTTCACGGACAATGGTCAGGGCGCAAGGCATGGCATATTGCTGCTGTCCATCATCATCACTGGAGCTGACGCATACTTGCACGAACAAAGTACCGTAGCTGAAGTAGCGGCCAGTGTCGCCCAGTGGCATCATGTTTACCAAGCTTGGTGTTTTGGCAGTGGTGTCAGCCAGCATTGACCTTGTTGCGGCGCCAGATAGAACTGCCGATACATCGGGGGCGTAGAAGGGGTAACGCAGCCAGATGGTAGTGTCCAGTTGTGTAGGAGAACCTTCGTCCGAAACCACCGAAGCGAGAATGTTGTTGCGTTTAATGGACATGGAAAGTGAGCGAAGGTGGTTGATGATGGTTTGGTGCATGCTCAAATGGTCGGCCAAGCTTTTGTCTCCTGTGGTACTTGCAACGGCAATCAAAGAGTCAATACTCATGGAACCGTAGCGGGCAAGTTCTGAATGATTGGGAACAATATTTTCAGTGATCCACAGTGCTTTTCCAAGATCAATCACTGCCTGCTTCGCGAAATTTGGCGGCAATGTTGCACGAGAACGAGCGTAAACTTCCAGCCGGGTCTTTCCTCGTAGGAACCACCACACTGCAGCACGAACCCACTCGCAGAGCGATGTCTCCATTAATGGCTTTACACTCTCTGCGGCGAGCTGGATCAGGCTCTCATAGCGAGCGTTGTATTCCCTAAACTCGGCAAACGCAGTATCTCCAACCTGGTTGGCGATGTTGCGGATAGAAAACTTGGGCGGTTGGGAGGTACGCGCAGGCTCCTGGGGAGGCTCTTGGCCCTTGCCACTGAGAGGCGCAACAGGGTTAATATCGGGCAAGGTCGGAGGAGGGGGTTTTGTGAGCGTAGGAGAAACCTTGCCAGGGCTACCGGGGATGAGGTTTGGAGGCATTCGGGGATCAATGGGACTGAGGCTTGTCGGTGCAGGCGCACGGTGTACTGCGGGGCTAGGAGGATTTCGGATTGAGTCTACAATCGACATCATTGATAAAGAGACCGATGGCGCATGAGACGTGGCTGATGTTGGGGCTGTTTCGTAGGTGGATTCGGAATCATGAAGGTCGTGATGGCCTTTCAAAGGCGGTTCAGGGCTAGGCGGGCTCGGAGGGGTGGGTAGGTCCTCGTCATCGACACCTGGAGATGATGTATCTTCATCATAACGATGGTGAAGGGCACGTCCTTCCTCCGCTTGCATCTTATCACGCACTCGCTGCGCGAATGCGCTCTCTTCGCTGTCCCCACGGAAGGACAGCCTGGAGCCGCTTTCGCTCAGAGGCAAAGTCCTCAAGAAGTCCGAATCCTGCGTGTTCTGCATCAGAGGCGGTTTCCAGTCATCACGTCGAGGCGAAGAGCCTGCTCGCCGAGGTCGCGATTCGCCATCGCCCAGCGATGTGTCGAGTCGTAGGTCCGGTAAATGAGATCGCGAGGGATTTTGCGAGAGATTGCCCAACTGAGTTCTGCTCTGCGATTTCTGGCGAGTCGCAGATATCTCAACCGTAGGTTGCTCTGACTCGTCCCCTCCTTCTCCAATCACCTCCGGTGTCTGGTTACTGAAGCCGACTCGCAGCCCTTTGCCTTTGCGACCATGAGGCTTGGCAGGGGCGGGGGCAAGGGCAGATGCATGCTGGTGGTCTGGGAAATCGGCGGTGGTGTAATTTTCCTGAGGAAGTCCTGCGGGTGCAGGCGCGGCGACTGGCTTCGACTGGTAGCCCGAGAGGTCTGGGGGAGCGTAGTTGTTCTGCGGAGGCACGTATCTCGGGTCGTTTGGTGGGGGTGCTGGGGCTGGCTCTGGGGCCCGTGAGGTACTCAAGAAGTCTGCAATCTCCCTATTTGTCTGCGCAGCAGCTTTGCTTTTATCCTTGGAGAAGAGCTTCTCGCGCCAATCGCGCTTCTTGGGTTTGGCTTGAGGCTGAGGCTGCTCGGGCAGAAACGAGAATGGGTCATCAGCGGGCATATCGAACAAAATCGCGAGCAGACCCCGTCCACATCGCACGACTTGAGATTATTGAATACTGAAGCCAATTATGGAATCCACCCCTGTACGGTTCTGGAGGATCGACAGGGGCTTTGCGCCTGGGGAGGCTGGGGAAAGTGGAAGGCGTGGGCAGGGTACTCTGTACAGTGTACAGAGTGCGTAGGCGAGAGTCGAGGAACCGAGGGCGCAGGTCAATGCGTGAGAGGTGAAAAGGGAGTTTCGGAGTGTAGAGGAGTGTAGTGTGTAGGGTTCAAAGGTTAAGAAGGAGGGGTGTGTACAATGTAGCGCCCGTGCTCTATGAGAAACCCAATTAGACCCCGAAGTAGTCCTCTGTATAGAGATGCGCAGAGAAGTCGGAGACTCCAGATAAACATAAACAAAATCAGAAAGAATACCAGACCCAAACCAAATGTAATTACCGAAAAAATTGCCAACGAAGCTGGGCTAGCAATCAAATAATATTCACAAGAATGTCTTTTCTATCAGGGGGAGATACTCCGCAGGTACCAGGATTGCCGCGGGTGGAGCTCCCTTTAGTGCAGGTCTCTGGGGAGTATCCCGAGTATAGCCAACGTCCCCGTACTCCGTACCGAAACATGTAGTATTTATAGTATATGAATTTATTTTGGTATTTACTTTGGAGCTCATATAGTTACTCCGTACCGAGTATTAATATCCTATGTGTCAGTACACACTATAGTAACTAGACATACAAGTACTGCCAATCAGCACAGACAACCCGCTCGTCTCAGAATTGAAACTGCACTAGACCCAATCGGGTCGAGACAGACCCACCGCTGACGACTTTGGAGTCGCACACTGTATTGCACTGTATTGCAGGGGATTTAACCCTAAAGATCAATCTAACTAAGATATAAGCAATGGAAAAAAAGTGTGTCTTTTTCACTAAAACCCTTCCATATCAAAGACGATAGTTGCGAAATATTTGGATCTAATTTAGACTTCTTGGCATTGGGAGATATCTTATCTAGGGCCGTTTTAGCGCCCGAATTGGCTATACTAAGTCGGCCCTAACCTTGGAAGTAGACCCTCGTGGCTTGAGACAACTGGGACGGCTCAATCTGGCATTTGATCATATGCCCGAATTTGCGCTCTGCTAAGGTGTTATCCCGGATTCCCCCTTTGGTCATTCCGGAATTCACTCGCATGCCGGATCCCTGCTTTTCCCGAACTATCTCATTTGCTACTTAAGTATGCTCTACGCTGTAATCTCCGCTGAAATATGTAGTGTTAGAGTCCTGGATAAACCGATTCATGCAAAAGAGCTTGTACAATGTAGAACGTCTCTCACGTTCTTGGATCGTCACCGCTACTCGTGCATGTCTTACTCAGATCCAGGGCTGGTTTTTGCGCCCCCCGCAAGTGTCTCGCGTACAACGTGAAAAGTCACCCTCCAGGCTCCGTACTCCCGACTGATATAAAGTAAAGCTGAAGATCGGTAACTCGGCCCTCCCCGCATCCCATGACTAATGCGACAATACCCTTGTCTGACCCGTGCACCTGGACAAGCCTGGGGTTGTGTAGATCAAGCCCTGGAGCTGCATGACAGACAAACGTTCGTTTCACCCCATCAAATGTTTACCCTATGCCAGCAACATTCGAGACAAAAAAGAAAAGAAAAGAAAAGAAAAAACGGACAAGCTCAATAGATGATGAGATTGGTCCCCACTTGTGAGAACAAGCCTCCCAGATCAGAACTCGGCTTGTCGTTGAGTGGGCTTCAAGGCCTGGGGACAGCCCAGTGAAAAATATGAGCCCCCAACGGAGTTCCTGGGCATTTCTTGGCCAGCGCTGCCTCCGCGGAGGAACAGCTCCGCGGAGCTGTCCAGGTGGATACTGCCAAGTCATACCTCGACCAACTGTGAACAGATCTTTTCGTTGGCGAGAATATTTATCAGACATATCTGGATCTTTCTAAAGTTGCGGCCAGTGACTCGATTGATTGTACGGGGCAGTGATATCGTTGTCGCAGCTATTCGATATCCCGGCAGAGAACGAAAGAACAATTCAGTCGAGTAGACATCTCGGCATATACAACGTCGCGACATGTCAAATGTACCCATAAAACGAAAGACTACTTAGTACAGGGCCCCAGGGCTCACTTGAGCATCACACAACTTGAGAAAAGCACTGTGGTTAGGTTTACACAAACTTGCTATTGGATGGCCTTCCCTCCGTGCTCCAGGTCTTGAATTAATTAAGAAGTTTCAAAGTCCCGATCGCAGACACCTGCGAATATATAGATGTTCCCGGCGTTGGGGCGCGAAAACTCAACAAGAGGGCATTGGGCAACATTGAGCCTAATGCGAAGAACGCAAGCACATGCCGGCTTTTGAAGAGCCCCAGAACGCCGGGCAAACAGCAAGGTCTACAGTGGTAGGGTCACACTGCAGAGGTTGGAACCAAAATATATCATGATAATTTGCTGTGTGAGGGGAGTGTGTTTGAAATGGGATTGGAGGCGAACGTGTAGGGCTGGGATTCCAAGGTTCGGTACCAAGTCTGAAAGCATAGGAGTGTGTTTGTGAGTACAAGAGCGATGGATCCTAACATGTTTCGGTGTCGTTAGCGAGTACAGAGTACTCCATTTGCATCTTTGACATTCGCCGAGAATGACGGTCCCATGTTTCCCCCCAAGGGCAATTTATTTTACTCAGGCATGCGAAATTGCTGTTCTCAACGTTGATCACGATGCGAAAATGGAGTTGAGCCAGTCGAGGAGGCTCCAGATTCAAAGTATTCGACTTCTCTTGTTCAGCGGTCTATCATCAGGGACTCTCTTCGGTGTGACAAATTAGACCCGAGTCAGTGCTTATGACCACTATCATGATCCACATGAAGTTAAGCTTGTACCATAACCCTGGAGGTGTGCCACGATGAGCCCTTCGATGCCTTCCCAGTGGATAGCCACAACAGCGCCCATCACGTATGCCAACAGACATCAGCATCTATATTGGTATCCAGGGCTGCAGGTTCAAAATGCGCGCTTGTTTTGACCCGAAAGATACTCATTATGGGGATGACTTGATGCTGACGAAGCGCACTCAACCGAGAGCCTCCAGGGCAGATGACAGAAGTTGCGCGATGGTGCTCCACACAGATCGTTGATGGGACGTGACACGACGAGGGAGGTGATCAGGAGGAGATGATTGTCGTCGGAGAAGCCAGCGGATGAAAACAGAGCGGGAACGTATTTTTGGGCGTGAGAGTCTCGTGGGCGTAGACACTGCTCAGTGCGATGATAGTGTCCTCGGTCAAATGAAGGAGTATCAGGGTAAAACCTTGGAACAAAAGCAGAAAATCTTAGTTGGAAACACAATTGCTAAAGCAGAAAACTGTTTAAAGAATGAAACAGTCGGCCAATGCTCTGTATCGAACCTTCGATTTTCGATTTTCGATTTACATCGTCCATGGCCGTGAGTCTAACAATGTCTCACATCCCGACCATGACATGTAACTCTTTCTTCTACAGCAGATTGACCAACTTACAGACACACGATTTCAAAATCTGCAGAATCCTACTCGCAATCGTAGTACTCCGTACTCGTAGCTCCATGTCACCGCGCTTGTCTCACTATAAAACCCCATTGCCGACAGCCCGGTGGAGTAGAACAATCAAAGCAGGGCATTGGACCCTGAGAATGTGGCGTGCGTTTGTACGAGTACGGAAACCATTACCCAACAGAGCATTGCCAATCCTCGAAGGCCACTAGTTCTGCCCAACCTGTGAGGATGGCTCCCATCACACTATCTGCCTCCTTACCTCCGGCTTCCATGAACTCGGCACCTCTCAATGCATTATACGAGCGTAACGAGGTTGAAGAACTTCGTACTCTGGACAGAGCACACTATATCTTACCTTCTGGTCGAAACTTGAGAAAGTCTGTTCGCTGATCAGCGAGTGAGACAGTCCCAGAGAACTACTTAAGTACTAGTGTGAACTCCGTACTCCGTAGGGCGCCCAACATCGTACTACTCGTATGACTGTATTTTCTTCCACCTTCCATATGCCAAGGTAGAAAACTACACATAAGTATACCGAGTACGGAGTATGTGATGGAATCTCAAGTTTCACTCTTCTATGTAACAGACCCGAGTGGGATCTACTTAAGTACGCCGATAAGTTCATGAGATCCCATCAGTACTCGGTACTCCGTGTTTGGGTGTACAGGAGCACCGTCACTATACTACTATTTTTGGGGGCTTTCAGCTACGCCGAACATCAACTAATATCGCACGGTTTGTTCAATATTCAGAAAAGCAACGATGCCTCCAGGGCTATAATTAGATAGTCGAGTAGTCAGCCGTCAAAAACTCCACTGGGGCCAGACCAAACAAGGCGCAGCAACCTAACAGAGTGAAAAAAAAAGTAAACAGTTCCAAAGGCTGTACTCTTTACTCTGGTTACTCAGAGTACTCAGACTCTACCCGACTCAGGCTACTTGGATCATTCCCGGGATGTACCGCGTTTGACGATTTTCAAAGGTTTAGCGGCAGACTCAGACTTTCGTCCCCCTCTAGGCACCTCCCGAACTCCCCACGCGAAAAAAAAACACCCCTTCCTTACGTTTTCTTACCCCCCCAAAGCTGCGAATTACCGACCCAGGGACGGGTTGTGGATTCTGAGACCCTGGCACCGATTCTCGCCACAACGTGGATTCGATCATTTACGGGGGTTGACCTCCCCGAGGAGGTCATCCCGGATGCCCGAAACGGACATGTACGACTCGGAGATCGAGCTGGACGAATTCTCATTCAACCGGAAAACATCACACCCGCGACGCAACGGATCAGTCAGACCTCGCCGATCATGGCGCGACACTCAACGGAGTTCTGTGTGGTGGATAGCTTTGGTCTGTCTGGTGACCTTTGCTTCACCAACCGCGGCCGTCTTATTGGACTTTGACAACTGTCTATCGAAAACCATCCTTGAATCCGTCCCTCGGCAATTACAATTCGTTCCGACCAATGTCTCCGTCACATTCAATCTCACCGACGCTCTCAACCCGCTCAATGTGACGGTTTATGGAAATGTGTCGGGAACCGCGTCGCGGACTGCGAACTACCCGGCACCGAACTCCCCGGATTGGACGAATCCTAATTGGACCGATGGGAAAATCGAGGACCTGAGCAGTGTGAACAACATGTATAGCACGTTGTTGACGGAGTTCAACGTGCTGAGTTTCACACCTTTTCACAACGCCTCCCGCTTCAGCGACTCGGTCACGCAAGGCTCATTCCCATTAGCCCCCGTCTTCAATTTCAATCTGTAAGTGATCAATTGCACAAGGTCACGACTTTCCTGACCAAGCTTTCTATGCAGGACCAATTTGACCACATTACGAGCGTTCTCCGTTCAGCATGATATGCTGTCCACCTACCGCTTCGGTACGATCATGCCCTCAATGACGCTTCGCTCTGGAGATATTTCCGCGGCGCAGCTGGGCTGTATATCGGTGAAGATCACACCGGACTTCGGCTCCCTTCTCAAGAATGCAATTGCCTATGTCCCGCTGGTGATTTTAATCTTGGTCGGTATCGCCACCATTACGGCCGCGATGTTCAGCCCATGGGGCACAACAGGTCTTTTTAGATGGACCAGCAATTATGGCCGAGACGAAGATGTCCTCCGGCTGGTTACGCCTGGATTCTCGGACTGCCTACAGTACCTCCAATTCGTGGTTTTGACCGGCGCACTTTCATTGGATTACCCGGGGTTCTATCAACCTGCGGTAAGCCAGGGTGCGTGGTCGACTCTGATGTTCAACCAGAGTTTTATCAACCCCAGTATGGGCCGTGATCCTGTTGTTGATGGCGTCTACGCTGTTAGTGGGAACTATGGTCTCGACCGACTAAATCAGTACGTTGGCATGGCTACCTCCCAAGACATTTGGCCCGGTGTGATGATATGGACTTTGGTTATTCTCGTCAGCGTCACCGTCTTCTTCCAGATTGCATTCGCCATCCGGTGGCTGCACCGTGAATTAGCCAACAACACAGACCAGGACTTGCGCGCGAGGAATCTGCCCTTTACATTGGGCAATCTCATCCGCATTGTTTTCAATTTCTTGCTTTTCCCCATCGTCGCCCTTTCCTTCTTCCAATTGGTACTCGCGGGATCCTCTACTGCATACTGTGTCGCTTTGGCAGCTGTGGTTCTTGTTATCCTGGTTTGCTTCTCAATCTGGGTCATTCGGGTAATTGTTTCAACCCGACCAAAGTCTCATCTCTTTGACGACTTGCCAACAGTGCTAGTATATGGCCCTCTTTACAATACATACTGTGACGATGCTACAGCATTTGCACTCGTGCCAATTTTCCTGAACATTGCTCGGGGGGTCGCGGTCGGTGCTTTGCAGCCATCTGGCATCGCTCAGGTGGTAATGCTAGCAATTTGCGAAGTGGTCTCTGTTTTGACAATCTTGGCTTTCCGGCCTTTCCCAGGACCGACTCATATGAACCTCTACCAATGCCTGTTCTCCATCGTCCGCTTCTTGACAGTCATATTGAGCGTGGTTTTCGTTCCTTCCCTGACAGTGTCGGATGCTGCGCGTGGTTGGATTGGATATTTAATACTTGTCCTACATGCTATGGTGTTGATCTTTGGATTTTTCCTCAACGCAATGCAAACGCTGATCGAAGTTTTGGCGCGCCTTGCTGGAGCTGGTGGTGCCACACGTGGAGGTCTGACCAAAGTTTTTGGCATGCGCCAGCTTTCCAGGCGTGCTGCTCGAGGCGGTATTTCGCGCCAGAGCATGGGATCTGAAGCTGCGATGCTTGGTCACCCGGACGACCGCCTTTCATCTCAATTTGAGGGATCCCGACCTCGCAGCTTCTCCGGTAGCTCGGCTCTCCTTTTGAACCGCGCCACTGCTAGTGAGGGCCGAGCCAGTGCTGTTCTTGAATATGCTAGCTCACAGGGTGGAACGCATAGCCGTGCTGCCAGTGGAGGGTTCCCAACGCCAACGTCAACGGCCTACCAAGGAGCTGGTTTCCCCAGCTCGCCTAACGACTCGGTGTTTGGGATGCACCCACGCGATCCTTATTACCGACCACCTCGACCCGGGCGAAGAACCCCCGAAGGAAGTGTGTCGTTGGAGAAAGGAAAGAGTCCATCAAGGGGCTTCTTGAAGTCGATGTCGACCCGACGAGGCGCCAGGAATGGCGACGAGGGAGACAGAGGTCTCAGGTCTGGCCGAGCTACTCCTGTACCCGCATACCTCCAGGCACCAAAGGATGAAATGGAGTTAGACGGCCCGCAGCAGCCGAAAGATTATGCCGTTCGCGAGGTAGATTTCTACTATGGTGTCCGAGGTCCACCACTTTCTCACAGTGGCACACGGAAGCTCAAGACTGGGCCCGCAGACCCCACAGGACCCGTATCCTCCGCGACGGGATGGTTCCGGGGCTTGCTTCAAGGAAAGACAAAAGACAAAGCTAAAGGATTCGAGGTGGTCCGAAGCGCTCGAGCACCTCCCCCGGGTATGCCCCCGCGAGGAGGCTATAATGAGCGTTACGAAGATGACCCAGATGCGCCATCGGGTAGCCAGTCTCGTAATGTGTCTGCGGGGAACGTTCCATACAACGATGCCGATGGTGACAACCCGCACGCGCACGGGCAGTCAAGTGAATCACGTCCACCCGTATTGCCACAAATCAACACTTCAGTTGGTAGTATCGAGCTCCCCAGTCGAAACGGCTCTCGGCACACGCAAGTAGCTGGTGAGCAAGATAGCAGCGATGCAGCCGGTCTCCCTGCTGTCACAGAGACATTATCACATGAAACTGGCGCAGGGCAACGCTCTATTCGCTCAGAACACCATCTGCAGCCGGAAAACTCAGCCCGCTTCCCTCTAAGCGGCAATAGCTCACCCTCTCGCGAACGTGGTCTCTCCATTACCTCGACATCACGATCACGATCTAATGCCTCGAGCAATCAGCCCGACAAACGATCCGAGCGACCCTCGAGCATGGGCTACGTACCCCAACACCGAGCCCATGACAACATCCACGAAGCAAGTCCGGATGAACCCTCCTTTGCCGGTAGTTCTGCTGAACTGGTGGATGAAGCCACCGCCCTGGCCACGCACGAGCATGGCGAAAAATAGAAAGCAAAGCCTGTATTTTGAAAACAATATTCCTCCCCTTCAGACATCGTTCTTATCTTTCCCCCTTTCTCCTCTTCCCCGTTGATCTACGCGTACCACCTACCGGGCTCGCTAATGCCACGTCACGAATCTCTTTGCTCTCTTTTTTTTTGCTATCTAAAATTTGCGAGGGCGTTCATTTTCAATCCCGAGTACACTTAATGGGAACTGTTATTCATAGCCTTTCCTATCCCTCCTGTTGGCTGACGCGTTTTAAGCCTAATTTTTGTTTGTCTCAATGGCATTGCTTTCTTGTATCAACCATAAGAATTAGTTTAGTGCAAATTAATAAAGTGCAAATTAAGACAAGCCCTGGAGGACCTTGGTCGGTTTTCCCTTCAAGTGACATTGCACCAATGCCTTCTCATGGGTGGCCACGGAGATAGACTTCGTGATTCTTCTACCTCGGTGAATCGCTAGGTTCAAGATAATTCTGGACGTGGTCAAATGATTGTGTACGTACACCTGGAGTATACTGTTCCACCTGGGCATATCATCCACGGTATGGGCCAGCTACCTTTCAAGGTTGACATTGCTTTGGAAGACTTGGATGATCTATCACTTGAGCAACAGATGGAATCAGCCATGGGGAAAAACCAAGCTCATAAGATTACCGTTCGACAGTACACGAGGGCATGAAGACGCTAGCCCAACATAAACTTACCTAGGTAAGTACTAAATCATATGGACAAGATCGCGACATAATCTATGAGACTATTAGGGCTGAGTGCTCCTATCAACTTCCATCAGATCAATTCACACTAGAATTGTAGCCAGTCCCCCAGAAAGATAAGTATGTTCTGAGCCCAGTATGGCTTTTAGTATCCAAGAATAGTAGCAATGTCATATAATATGCGATGATCCCTGCTACTACGACATATGATGCATTAGAACGTCTGCATACCCCACAGAGTACTCTGCATACGTAAGTAGTCTGGATCAAAGAAGCAAACACTGATTGCTTCTAGGGTGAGTAAGTATGAGATACTAGACAATGCCTGACCAAGGTCCTGCAGTTTAGAAGGACATAGTACCTCTTGAGCATGGGGTCAGAGATGTATCATGGTATAGATGCATCTATTGGCGGTGAGCTCATCCATCCAAATTTGCCAATCGCCACCGCCCTCACTGCCCCCACGATAAACACCGTATCTCTGAAGCAAACGCATCATCCAACTCCTTTCTCTGTTCTGGTGAATCACCAATCATCTTTTTGCTCACCTGGCTTTTGGAGATCGCTTCAAATAGAGATCGGCCTCTCTATCACTGTCATCACAGCTCAGGATATAGTCACGAGACCATTCGCCTCATTTCCGTTCAGCCTTGGCTCCATGATAAGCATCATCCTCTCGCTCCTGGATGCGATCTTTGGCAAAAAGCGTCAACGTCATTGAGGCTGGGCCCTGGATTGCATGAAAGGACGACCAGCCGCTATATTCCAATCATATACTTCCTGCCGTCGAACATATACATCACTTGGTTCATGAAGAAGGGTCGCTCCACCGGCCGAGGTCGATCTCGTTGCCCACGTTGAAGTGAAACTGCGATCTTTCAGGGTTTGAGCCGGCCGGTCCGGATATCAATCCAAAATGTCCTCAAGAACAGCGTCGTCTAGTCCGCCTGGCCCAAGCCCTCCGCTGAGGCTGGGGCCAGACATGAGACCAGTGGAAAGACCAGAAGCTCAAAGGGCCAGCCAGTCAGAAGACTATGGCCATCACAATGGGGGAAACTCAAGAACAAGAGTATTTTCTGTTCGCCCAGGGTCAGAACGCAAAAGGCGGTTGACCAGCACTGGTGAGGATGTGCGATCCCAAGAATGGGGACGCTCTGGTGGTGCGGTTGGATCGGTACGAGATAATGGGGAAAGGGTTCGAAGTAGCCTACCTCACAGATCTGTTTCGATGGTGATTCCGTCTTCTCGCACCCGAACTTCTTTTTCCGCAACACCCGGTTCATCGATCGCAACCGCCATTGACATCACCTCCTCTCCCTCTCCCACCGACTCTCGCTCCCTGTCCGGTGAACTGCCGCGTCGACCTCGTCGTGATAATCTTCCATCTCGTATCAGCCAACCGCGCACCGTCTCTTCTCACCACGCTGACCACTCACCGCCTCTGATGGAACTGTCACTTCCCCCATGGCAGCCCGATGCAGAGGTTTCCGAATGTCCGATTTGCAAGACGGTGTTCAGTTTCTGGTATAGAAAGCATCATTGTCGAAAATGTGGTAGAGTAGTATGCGCCGCATGTTCCCCGCATCGCATCACGATCCCCAGGCAATTTATTGTTCGCCCTCGTGACGAGCTCGGCGTGGAGACATCCCCAACTCCTCCATCCCATTCATCCCATTCATCTACTCGTTTCCCTACGGTTGTTGATCTCACCGGCGAAGATCCGGCCCCACCACCGACCACTAATCCTGCTCTTGGTGGAGGGGAAGAAGTGCGACTTTGCAATCCATGCGTACCAGACCCCAACCCCAACCCCCTTGGTTATAGTGAGATGCGAACTCACGGCCACCGATCCACCCACTCGCTGTCCTCCACAATTGCCAACTCCTCTGGCTTATTCGTAAGTTCCATTGTATACTTCCCACTTTCTTCATTGGCTAATTTGATTCTATAGGCCCAGCGCCAGCATCCAGAGGCACGTCAGGAACGACGGACTGTTGGCGCAAATGATCGACCACAATTCCTCCAGGACCTGAGCTCTCAATCATGTGCAGTGCCTCCGGGTGCCGGCATTCGACAACACCGTGTGATATCCAATCGGGATGGCCGCCCCGTAGAGGAGGGTGACTTTTGCCCCGTCTGCCGGCGCCGATTTCCCCCTCTAAGCCCCGACCATCCGATCGAGGCTCGCCAGGCTCACACTCGGGACTGCATTGAAAGCTATTTGAGACCACTTCCACCCCGACCATCATCCACAAGCACACGGCAGGCGCCTCCACTTCCCCCACCCCCACCCTCCGCTCGCATGCTCCCTTTCGTGGCCACGGAGAAAGACTGCCTGGGCGAAGACGGGCAACCAGCAGAGTGCACGATCTGCATGGAGGACTACGAGGTTGGGCAGACCCTGGCTCGCCTCGAGTGCCTCTGCAAGTTCCACAAACACTGTATTGTGGACTGGTTCGAAAGGAAGACCGAGTGCCCGGTGCACAAGCTTTCTTAGATACAATACATGTTCAGTGTGTCAATCTTTTGTTTGATTAATTCCCTTTGTTAGCGTTTTTGTGTGATATCCCAATCAGCGGTGCCTGTCAGTTGAGATTTAGTTTGCAATGAAGAATAACTTGAAAACAAATCACCAATATGCGTCCAGGGTTGCGGTATCTCAGATCAGCCCAGGGTCACGTGCACACAGTAAATGTCAGAAACTTTTCCCTCACTTTCCAGCTTCAAGACCAAGAAGTCAGGCTCCATTGAGCGGTTTAAAAAGGTAGGATCAACTGTCCTCTTCAACCCTTGATTTTTTTGCCTTTTTGAGATCATCTTTACACTTGGAATGTGAGGTGGGTTTTATGTTGATCATCCACATCGGTGCTCGGTGTTTGTGACCACCGTGCCCCGGTTGGCGTCCCCGTCAAAGAATACGCCGTGATGTCTACAGCAAATAGCAGGACAAGTTTCGCCATCTTTGATTGACCCCGAAAACTAACATGTAACAGTGGGGTGTTACTCGAATCGGTACCAACCGATCAGTCTCGCCCTATATGGACATCGATCCTCAGTTGCACCGCGACGGGGACACCCAACGGCCTCCATACATGCCGACCCGACCGACTCCCATAAGCCCGGAATACCCGGAGCCACCAACCCACCATCCGCTCGACCCGTATGCAAGGCATCATTCCGCGGAGGGAATACAGGCCCAAGCGGGGCCATTGATGGGTGTTGAGCGCGGCGACCCATCCCCCGATGCCGAACATGAAGCTAAACGATCCCGCGCATGCGAACCCTGCCGACAGCTCAAAGTCCGCTGTGACCCTGACCCTGATCACCCGGAGGGCTCGTGTAAGCGATGTGCCAAGGCACGCCGTACATGTATTGTCACAGCGCCGACGCGCAAGCGCCAGAAAAAGACGGACAACCGAGTTGCGGAGCTGGAACGCAAGATAGATGCGTTGACGGCTACATTGCAAGCTTCACATTCTACCAGTCCGTTATTTTCCGGGCCTTCCCCGCGCGAAGAGCCTGTGCGGGCATGGAGTAGTGAATCGAAGATCGCTGGCAACAAGAGACAAGCCAGCGGCGCGATTAAGAAGCCAAGTGAGATGCTGGCGCCGCGGTATTCTCGCCCTGGCAGTCCATCCGCAGAGCAAATTCCTACGGCCTCAAAGCAATGGCTTAGGCCTGTTGCCGATGGGCCTACGAATAGCTCAGGTCCATCGGCGAAGCCAGTCGCTAACAATGAGTTTACCGACATGATAGACCGGGATATCATCGATTACAACACTGCCAACTTAGCCTTTGATCGGTACATCTACCAAATGGCTCCTGAAATGCCGTTCGTCGTCTTCCCACCGGGCACGACAATGGGTGAAGTTCGGCGCAACAAACCCTTCTTGTTTTTGGCCGTTATTGCTGTTTCAGTCAGTGTATTCAACCCCGAAGCACAGCCCATCCTGGTCAACGAGCTCTACCAATTAATAGCCGAGAAGGTCATTGTCAAAGGCCACAAATCATTGGAACTAGTGCAGACCATCATGGTCTGTGCAATCTGGTACATGCCACCAGACAGTTTCGAGGAGCTCAAGTTTTACTCATTGACGCATATGGCGGCAGTATTGGCCATGGAGCTAGGACTCAACCGTCGTCCATCCGAAAATAAACGAACTCTCAATATGATCCGTGAGTTGATCATCAAGAAACCTAGTGGACCTGCGTTCGATCCGGAAGGGCCCGAGGCAAGACGAACTTGGGTTGGATGCTATTTTTTGGCAGCTCAGATGGCAGCAGCTCTCAGACGAGTGCATTTGATTACCTGGCAGCCATATATGGACGAATGCCTTGAGATTCTGGCCACACACCCTGATGCTCTCCCTTCGGACCGTAAACTGAAGTGGTGGGCAAAGCTCGGACTGATAATGGAAGATGCTGGGAAGCACTTTGCTGCCGAGGATGCTGGTTCGGTTGCTACATTCGCAAGTAGCAAGGTATACTATGATATGAAGATGTTCGAAGACCGGATTGCAAAATGGAGAACAGATATCCCACAGGATATTTACACCGGTAAGCCTTGAGCATGAAATACCTGATTGCTCTAATTCACCAGCTGACATATCTTCAAGCCCCAATGATCCAAACTGAACATGTTTTGAATCTGTTTATCCATGAATCTTCCTTCAGTGTGAATTTCAACACCGGCGATGACTCGCTATCACGCGAAAATATTCAGAGCGCGTCTATTGCGGCGATCAATGATGCTCTGAACATAGCTGTCCGTTGCATACACCAAAGCATCGATGTAATTTGCACCATTGAGATTGAACGGCTCATATCCCTGCCGACTACATGTTTAGCTCGAACCCCGTACCCTGTTGTGTGCTTGATCAAGATGTACTCGCTGTTCATGACACCTGACAGCCGTATAGGTCAGATTCTCGACGTGCAGACCCTCAAGCTTGACTACTATCTGGACAAAGTGATTGCGCACTATCGCTCCGCCGCTGGGCGGAAGGGTGGCCGTGCAGCGGCGAAGTTCGGCAATATCATGGTTATGCTGCGCAATTGGTTCATCAAAAAGCGAGACCAGGGAGACCAAGGCCAAGAACTTAAAGAGGCCTTCTCGATCCGTAAAGCGTCAGATCACCAACCGAGCACCTCACGACAGGAAACTCCCGCCGCATCTGCAAACCCACCAACGCAAATATCACAGTGTATGACGCCGCTTCATTTCCTCAGCGAGGTAGCCATGGGTGAACCAGGTTCTCGAGCGGGTAACCCTATCGCTGCCCGTCAGGTCTCTGGGCAGGGATATCCAGCAACGCTAAGCCCAGGCTCGTCGACCTATGGTGATCCCTCGTTGTCTAGTCTGTCATCAACAAAGCCAAATCCTCAAAACAGCTGGCCCTCTGGCCCGTCATACCCAAACACACTTTCTGGCCCCGATCCATCCCAGGGAGACTCAAGGGGCTACTATCAGCCCTTCACGGATCCCCCGCAAAGCTACCCAGATATCAATTCCATGGCAGCGCCAACGCAGTCAGGATACCCTGACATCCCCGGCGGGAATGGATTGCAACTCGCACCGCCAATGGGGATGACGCCCGGCGTGGGTACTGATTATAGCGTTGCGGACCCCTGGTTCACTCTGGGGAGCATGGCTGACGAGGGACTCTTTACATTTCCCCTCTCATTTGACCCGAACTTTGGATTGTTTTGATCGATCCTGCAGCCTCATTCTCTACTCTATACCCTTTTTTGCATCACATTCTTCCCTCCAAAATCATATATATATATACATGAAAATACCGGTATTAACTTGACTTGCATATGACTTGAAGAGACTAGGCAGTAAATGAGGATCTTCCACTCGCCAAGCTCCCGAACTTGTGAAACTCGACGTTCTGTTTGGGTTTCCTGTATTGTGAAAGCCATGTCGGTCAATAGCCTTGGAATCAAGCCCAGGCATGTCCAACAGTGGGTTGTATTGCCATTTTCATGATGCATGTTAATCTACAGGGGTATATACTACACTGGCCTCCATGCCTGTACGACTTGATGTTGCACATAACCCCACGGCCACCCGTTCTCACGTTCTGTGCGACGAAGTAGATCAAACAGCTGGCTTTGTACCAGGGGATCCTCAACCCAAGAGATACCTAAGATGCGATCAGCGATACGATCAAAAATAACCCAAAACACTACTTACAAGCAAATAAAGCGTGGCAGGCGGTGATACGCAGCGAGGGTTCGTCATCGCAAGATACGGCGATTCCGAACATGAAATGGAGATTTTCGGCGAGATCGGCCTGTGGATGTTAGTGTATGCAGGCACGAGGTAATCAAAAAGCAAACCTTCAGTTTCATCGGCCCCTCCATATGTAATATGCTTCTATCATAGAATTCCAATTCACGAATGAGCATCAGTGCCTTGGCCATGCAGATTTGCTGGATTGCAGTTGCTAAAAGATCGTCAGTAAAGAGTGTCTGGGCACATTGATGACCACCAATTACATACCATGCCACAAGCTTGTATACCAGACAACAGGGAAAGGTTTCCCTCTTCCAGGGTCCGGTGCAGAAAGATGTAATGGGGCGAACGAATTCGGCCTGTCAAGCTCCCATTCAAAAATCCGTCTCCTAAGGGCTGTCTCCACCACACTGCCAAGTCGGCCATCGTGATTTCGGCCCGAAATATTATAACAAAAGTCAACAGTTTCGGCCAACAGCCAGATTGCCCGATTTGTCCAGTCACCATCGGAAAGGACGGTCTTGGCGGTCCACCACCGGCGAAGGCCCTCGTCGAAGGGCGCAAAGGTTAGCCGAAGGCATTTTTGGTACGTAAGCGAAAATTGAATATCTTGAATGACGAAAATCCAGAAAGAAGCCGAAGCTAGACCACCGGAAATAGCGCAGTCGACGTGTGAGCTGATGTAGACTGAGCCGGCTAGAAGATGGCGCTGGGCATCGTGAGGGGGACTGTGGGCTGTGTCGAATTAGCATCGGACAATGCAACGGCGAAGCGAGGTCGTACCGGAGATGGATTCGAAAAACCGGAGAATCACGGTCGATGGGAGAAGAATGTCAATGCTGATGTCAAATTCGGGCTTGTCAAGGACCGGGAGCATGATTGTGATACAACGCTCATGATAGGCGTGCGCGACATCAATAGGGAGGGTGTTGGTTGTTTTAGATAAATGGCACGCTGAGACAGCGAGACATGCGTAAAGTAATAGTGGTGAGTGAGTAGCGCGCTCAACAGCATCCGTTGAAAAGTGTCGGCCAGGGTCGCATGCGTCAAGCTAAGCTGTCAGTCGAGGTCTGTGAGAGCGAATGTACGCGAAAACAACCAGGTAACTTACCCAAGGAGCAAGGTTTTTCTGAAAATGGCGAAGCAGATATGCCTCGCTGACGTTACTCAGTCTTGACTGGCCGATGGGGGTAGTTGAAGAGCGAGGAGTACCCGAATTAGACCTCGAGTCAAAATAACTCGAACGAGGAATAGTGAGATTAGGAGTAGTCAGAGAAGAGTCCATCATGGACGAAGGAGTCGAATTCTCCGAAGATGATCTTCCAGCCGACTGTTGCCTTGTCACCGGTACAACATGGTATTCAGCTGCCGTCTGCTCCGTTTCATCCTTGAAGTCGACTAGGGACATTAGTTTTAGGGACCACCAATGTTAAAGATCACATACAGTCGGAGGACATGGCAACCCACACCTGATCATCGGGAAAAGCCAGGTCACTCTCGCCATACCTCGGAGGTCCCTTTCCTCGTAAGGAAGGATTTTGGCCGTGCCGAAACGACACCTCTTCAGATTTACCGGGGGCCGGCACACATTCGCGGCCAGATCTTTGACAACGCAAACATTTTGAACCCGATTTGTCACCTGGGGTTGAATTAGCAGGCTATATGGTATACATTTCGAACTGACATACATTTCAGATGGCGCAGACGACATGTGAGGCTAAACAAGCGGGTTAGTCCGAGCGGAACACAGGGGGAAAAAAAGCAGAAAATTAGGAAGAAACCAAAAAACAACAACAACTTACCATCCCCTCATTACGCAGTCAAAAGTACAACACAAAGGGAAGGCTTCCAGAAAGCAAGCATAATCGAAATGCCAGGCCCGAGTTGATGTATGAAAGTTATACGAGTATCAAGAGTTGACAATACGGCGGAGAGTGGTGGGGGTTAGATCGGGGTATAGCTAATTTGCTCTATATAACCCGCGACGGTTGGAGATTAGCAGCGACCAGGACCGAAATGTTGAGAAAATGAATTTTGACCCGTTGACTGGAGTTGGAAGAATCTCTTGATGATAACCCGAATGGGAAAAACGTTCAGTTGCCCCCCCACCATGCCTAGGCACTGTGGTTGGATGACGGTTCCCCCGCCCCTTAGTTTCTACGGTTGCCCCGATCGAAAAGTCTCTGATCGCCAAATCAATTTCGAAAAAGAACTTCGGAAAGGATCTGAAAACTGTCGGAGTTTCGGCAAGCACAGCGATTATGGCGAATTCGATGCGGTCTGATGCGGTCTGCGTTTGGAATAAATATCAAGCCAAGATCTCCCTTTTTCCTCTTTGGCTAGTGACCTCCTGTTCCTGGGTTGCTGTTATTAATATCTTTGTGGCATCAGGGGCGTGAAGTGCCCTAGAAAAGAAAATACGGAAATAAACATTCGAAAAAGAGAAGAGAGGGAGGGAAAAAAAAAAAGAAAAGGATGCGTCAGACGATATCTGCCAGCCAATAACATCACCCTGGGACGGGACAGTCTCCAGTCAATCTGCCATTCCACGGAGAATGGGCTTAACATTGTCGCGGTTTGTCAGGGACATAACTCAAAAAGGCGCGTAATAAGCTTCAAAACACTATTAGCGTGTATACGTAGGGCAGTGGGCAATCCACTTTTCATTTGCCATGTTCACCGAAAAGGCGAGAGCGAGGCTTGGACCTCTCCCCCAGAGTGTCCACATGGGACCTTCCAAACTCTAGATCCTTCGGATTCTCGCTAGATGTCACTGGCAATTGGACCGGCGACGCCGGGGATCGACTTGACAAATCCCGCAACCGCAGAGTGGGGGTCGTAAGGGAATTGTCGGCATTGCTTTGATTAATTTCATTTGCGCCGTGGATAGCGTACGGGGATGCGTCGAACCCTGTCGATCTTACTCCGACGGTGAATGAAGCCGAAGCTGTGATTCGAGGGCATTTTGAGTTCCCGATTCTGCATCTGCATATAAAGTTAGGTCCAGGGAAGTGTGTTGGCTGGTTATGTGGGGAGTGTGATGTTGCCAGCTGCCTCTTTTGGTGAGACCCTCCGAGAAGAACCAGATGACCAGCTTCTTTCTGGATGATTTGATCATTTCAGGTTGAACCGGGGGAAGGTCCAAGGTCCAAAGCCAAAGGGATTTGGAGGTTTGAAGTTGGACGGGGTTATATTCCTGCCTTGATGCCTTGATGCCTTAGACACACTCAGGTGAAGGCCTTATGCCTTGTTGCCTTGTTGCCTGATCGCCTTCGAAATTAGGCCACCACAGGAAGATAATGCAAGGAGCTTTGGTAATTCGTAATTCTTCCAAGGTTGACTTCCAAGGTTCTTATCTCTGGAAGCTCTTTGAGCTGAGAGTTACTCCGTACTATTCATACAATTCTGATTCTCCATTCTGCCTACCTCGATAATTGACAATGCCATGTCCTTAAACCGTATCTCATTCCTGGAAGGATGGGAACGCAACCCCGCCGCCTTCTTGAACAAGCCGGATGACACAGACACAGATTCCGACGATTACCAAGATCTACCTGATGGGTCCGTGGCATCATCATTCCCCTCAACCTACAGCAGACTGAATTTCAACCCGTACGCGGGGCCCGGGTGGAACGAGAGTCCAGACGATCCACATGACGATCGGTCTTCGTTCCTTGGTCCCTCGTTCCTGGGCCTGTCCCCCACCACTACGCGGGAACCTCGTGCAGGCTCACCTGTACGAGTACCTGAGAGACCGGGATTGGTTGATGCGCCTTGGGCGCTAACAACGGGTGCTTACGAGGTGAGCGCCACGAGGAGAATCGGTAGGTGCATCTTGAAAGCACAAACTGCAGTATTGCCAATCCGTTTGTAAACTTACTCGCTCCTTCGTATAGCCCAGGTTTGCACGGCAGTCATATACTGCTTCCTCTCCGCTGGGGTTGTCTTCGGATTCGCGGCGCTGAAACCTGTCCTCATCCGCGAGAAGGTTTATCGCACCCTCTGCTCCCAAGCGGAGCTGGATAGGGATGTCGAAGTCTGCAATGGGCAAGAAATCAGGTACCCATTTTCGTGCACTCGTCTACATGCTTCGCTGACTCCCTTAGGCTTAACCTGATGTTCACCATTGCTGCTGTAGTAACAAATGTCTCAGCCCTGCCCGTTGGAACCATTTTAGATGCATACGGTCCCCGAGTCTGCAGCATAATCGGAAGCGTCTGCTTGACGATAGGTGCCGTGCTTTTTGGGACTGCGGAAAAGCTCTCTTTCGATGGATACATCCCAGGATACCTGTTTCTGGCACTGGGTGGACCATTCATCTTCATTCCGTCGTTCCACTTATCCAACACATTCCCCAGACGCTCTGGTCTGATTCTATCGATGCTAACTGGGGCATTCGACGCCTCGAGTGCCCTATTTTTGCTGTTCAGACTGCTGACCGAACGCACGAATCTTGTATCCATCAACAACTTCTTTGCTGTCTACCTCGTTGTCCCGCTTTTCATCATTGCAATGCAGATATTCCTCATGCCCGCGAAATCATACAAAACCACCGGCGAACTCGCTCTACAAGCCGAAGCTCAAATCGCAGAAGAAGCCCTGGACCACACAGATGAAACACTGGACCCCAGCGAAAGCGAACGTCAGCGCGAACATAGACGACGCCGTCGACAAAGCCTCGTTGGCCACATCCAAAGTTTACTGGACGAAAACACATCTGTTGTTTCTATTGACAGCCCATCGCAAAACAAACCCATTGCGACGATCACGCCTGCCCCCACGGGTGTCTGGGGCGTACTCCATGGGCACAGTGCCCTTTCCCAAATCCGCACGCCCTGGTTTATTCTCATCACCGCATTCACGGTCCTGATGATGTTACGAATAAATTACTTTGTAGCAACCCTTCACTCTCAATACACCTACCTTCTGAATGCCCACCTCGCCAAAACCTTGAACACGACTTTTGACATTCTTCTCCCAGTTGGTGGCCTGGTATCCGTCCCTTTCATCGGCACGTTCCTGGACGTCTTCCAGACTCGCACTGTTCTGGCCATTCTAGTCCTAACTGCCACGGTCATTGGTGTCCTTGGATGCATCCCCCAGCTCGCAGCGGCGTATGGGAATATCATTCTTTTTGTGCTCTACAGGCCATTCTATTATACGGCTGTATCCGACTATGCTGCAAAGGTGTTTGGGTTCGCAACATTTGGGAAAGTCTATGGTCTCGTCATCTGCCTAGCGGGGATCGGAAACTTTGCACAGGCGGGACTTGATGCGCTTACCTTGAAGGTCTGGGAAGGTGATCCTGTCCCTGTCAACATCGGACTTACGGTCTTACTTGCGATTGTTGGCGCGGGACTAGTTGTGTTTGTGGTTTGGAAAACCAACGAGAAGAAAGGAACTGGTGAGGCTGAACCTCTGTTATACGGGGAGGGGAGGAGGTATGGGATTTGAGTTGAGCATGAAATATATATCCAGGGCCAAAATATAAGGATGTTCTGTTTGAATAACTTTAGAAACAGTAATATAACTTTAAAAAATCCATAATGTATACGGAGGCTTGGTGCATTATCTCTTCGAATCAGCGAATGATAAACATACATAGATGAGGGCAATATCCAACTGTAGAAATCAACAATCCAGATCCAGATCCAGGCCAAAATCACAGAAAGATGAATAAATGAACACACTTGGCCCACTTGGAGAGATGCGCGCAAAGCAACAACCCCTTAATATATTCAATCGCCAAGGGGGTAAGGGTAGGTCGATATGGCAATTAGTTTGTATATCAGAAGCTCAATGATACGGCTATCGAGCAAACTCATTTCGTGCAAGATATTGTGAAATGGCTCATCAATCAGAAGCTGCATGATGCAGCCAAGGGCAATTAGCAGAATTACTCAATGAGACCCAGAATCGACTGGGACTCAAGCCAAAGAGTCTCGGCGGCAGCATCGCATGCAGCATCGTACCAAAGCATTGACTCGAGAACAGCCTTCAAGTTTGGCCATGTCTGAATATTTGTTTTGGACATGACATTGCGAAGAGCGGAGGTGTACCAGACACGCTCAGGCGTGTCGCTAGCAGCGATACCACCAAGTGTTAAGATCCACAATAATGGAAGACGAGTGGCAGGTGAAGACCACAGCTCCGAAGCAGAGGGTTGATGGAGGACGGCCTGTATTAGACGGGCGAGGCGGTGGAGGGGAGTATTTTGAGCAGGGATGGGGAAGAGGACGCCGACGCCGAAGATTAGAGCTGCAAGACGACAGGCTTCATAAGTTGCTGAGTGAGTGAGTGAGAAAAAGGCATGGAGGTTGGATGCCGGGGCGAGGCTGAGCAGAGTATGTTGAGTGAGGTTGCGCTGGTCGGCTAGGAGGGATACGTCACGGACGGAAGTTGGATTTGTTTTTATAATAGTGACGTATGTATGAGCTGCCTGAAAGGCCTCGGCCATTTCGCTAGTTGCACCGATGGCCTGGAGGCGGCCGAAGCCATGAGCGATATCCGCTGGACTGAAGCCAAGCATTTCCTGAATGGACATGCCCATGCGGGTTTCGGTCAGGGGCCAAAACTCGAACGCTGGATGGATACAGAGCACGCTGCAAGTGAGGATGTCTGAGCTAGAGGCTGTTAGTATGATATGGACAAACTGTTAATCGATGTCAGGACATACAATGAGACTGTTGCGGCGAGACCCTCGGTTGGGATGCATGACAGACCGCCTCGCAGCTTGACCAGCTGCACTAATCCTTTAATATGGATCATGTTCGGTGGTAGACACCCATAGACATCGATCCATTGTAATCGCGGGAAGGGTGGATTGAACGGTGTTCTCCGGTGCTGCTGTACCAACTTTTCCTCGGCCTGGTGATGGGCCATACAAATCACGCTCAACAAGACAGCATCGCTGACTGCCTTTTTGGGATTTGGATTCCGCACCGCCTTATTGATCAGCTTGATCGACTCCATTTCAATCAGCTGCAGCGCGCGCTGCTGCTTCGCGCCAAAGGTGGTGCCCGGGATCCAATTATTCTGCCATTGCACGCGAAGGTGACACAGGGAGCCGAACATGAACGCGGTAAACAACTCAGTATTGGCCATGGACAACTCAAACCACGACTTGCCGGGCGTCTTGACGTGCCCAGGGCGGGGTGTGAGGCCGGGCCAAACCACACCTGTGATATACCGTTCCGACATATCGATGGTTTCCGGATCGAAGGCTCTCGAGGTGGGGTAGGTATCAAAGGGGTCCAACATGCCGGAGATATTGCGCTCCAGGCGTTCCAGTGCGGGCAGATTGTGCCATCGATCGATACGGCGGGCTTCGTCGTACACGGTTCCATCTTCGCTGCTGCTGTCGCTACTATCGCTGGCGTGCGAGGGCGGGAATGGCACCACACGGTCAGGCAAGGGACGCACGATGGTCCTTGAGCGCGCGACGACGGAGTAGCCTCGGGTCTGACGGGGTTCGCGATCCTTTGTCTGATCGGAGATCCATCTCCCCACGTGGGCGCGGACCTGACGCTGGGCTTTCAACTTCTCTATCTCGGAGGAGGGCCTGGCATTGACGAAATGGATATCATTGGTACGTTCAGTATTCCGTCTTGACGCCATGTCAACTCCATGGAATGCATGGTCGAAAAATAAAGTTGGGAGTGACAGGTATATTAAATGCGAGTGGATCAGATGCAGATGTGGGGAGAAAAGTGAGTGAGAAAATGAAGCCCCGTGACTGTCGATCTTTTTGTCTTTTGGGGTATTTTATGTATTCATTTCACGTTCCTCTGGTCTTTTTTTCGTCTTTTTCGTCTTAATTCATCTCATTGGGTTTAGTTCTTCCTAGTCTCGTTTTTACCCTAGTCGCGTCTTCCTTTGATCGCGTATATATTCTCGGAGTGATTACAGAGTACAGAGGACGGAGCACGACCGAGGTGGCGGGTTTTAGGCATGGACATCTTAGGCATTCACTAGTGTAGTGGATCGAGATTGATGCACATAACGATCAAAAACCGAGGTGCGAGTACGAGTACCTACTCGTAGGTACTTGTAAATGAACTGATACGAGTGAATCTGACCTTGCCCCTGAAAAGGGGTTCGAGCCCGTGCGCTACTATGCGTTCGCGATCACGCTATAGTAGCCTCTACCTAACGCTCTAACGTTCTAACGCTCGATAACGCTAACGCTCGCTAGTAGTCTGTCCTCATTCCAAGGTTGTAGAATGACCGAGTATACCGAGTACATGGCTCGTATCAACTGCGCATGGCATAGTCAAAGGATGTCCAGTAAGTTGAGGTCAATTCTAAGCTTCGAGCTCGAGACCTTGCGAGAATTCTCGATCTATGGAGAAATCAACAGGTTCGGCCGAAAGCCACCATTTCAAGGAGAATAGAACCACACAAGGCAAATTGGAAATATCCCGATGCTCGAGCCCCAGCTTCACACGGTGCACTGAAAGGTCTGGACGCCGTTCATGCAGGATATTTTTTCTATTTTTTCTTATTATAGACTGGGGGTCTCAGTTTAGACAAGGGTCAACACTGGATGTGACTATGCAATGCCTGTTTTCATACTTACTCTCTACTCCGTTGCTCCGTGAAGGACAAAGTACAAAAAGTAAGGACTCGCAGGTGCAATTGAGGGGCAGAAGATCAGACCACTAAGAATTTCCCCAATTCCCCAAATTACTCCCACATTGGGTTACACTGCAGCTAGACACAATTAAAACCAAGGAACTGGAGTGTCTCGGGATTACGAATACAGTCCCCGAGTACGGACTCTTCCAAGTTTAGAAGAGTATTAACCGACGAGCGTCGAGCAATGCGTACTTACGGTCTATGATACAACTAATCATGTACCTGAAGGAGCGCGGAAGGTATCCGCAGCAAATCACCGTCAATGCATCAAATTGCAAGTCGTAAATCTTCATGAAATGCGGCTAGTCAATCTCGAGCAGGGTATATCTGCAGCTCCGACCGGTCTGCGGGTCCAGGTACTCTTCCAGCGCCTTCTCCACCACAGCCATGTAACCAAGCACATGCTCCTCTTGCCAGCGACGACCGACCACTTGCACGGCAGTGGGGAGACCCGCCATTTTGGCGGAGTCATAGTGCTTCCACGCACCTCGAGCAAGCCCATGGTCTGCGCCAAGCCGTTTCAGAGTAGTCTTGTAGGGCGCGACGAGCGCATCACGGCCCGCATCGACGTGGCCGACAGGAATCACGCCAGCGGAGTAGTCGAGCAAGTTCCAGAGGAAGGTATAACCGCACGAAGAGACGGCATCGTGCATGGCGTTATGCGGGAGGGCCGGGGTGGCGTTGACAGGGCAAAGAATGAAATCGAATTGCTGGGACTCCGCGTCCCACCATTGATGCCAGGCAGCGCGGAAGGCTTCACGGCGGGCGGTCAGAGTCCACAGCTGGGCAGCGGACTTGGGGCCGAAGTCACGGATCAAAGTGGCGGTGACCTTATCTCGGCGGATATATCGCACATAGAGATAGTAGAGGTAACGAACGGGGCGGGGAAGGTGGGCAATGCGGGCTAGTTGCAGCGCGCCCGGGTCGGAGGGCTCAAATGACCTGCGAGGAACGTTGAAATGATGACAGCCATCTGAATTGAGGAGTTGGGCTGCGAGGTTCAGCCCTGTGAAAGGGTCTGCGGAGGATGGAGTTGTAATCTCCGATACGGTGTGGCCAGCCTCAGTTAGCGCGGCGACGGTAGTGGAGAGCGCACGCTCAATGGCAGGTGTTGGGGGAATGACGCCTATTCTGTTAGGACAATGTTCCAAAAGAATCCATCCTGGTACATACCGTCAGAGCTCATGAGGCCAATGCGCAAAGGCTTGTTCTGAGCGTCAGACTCAAGGTCGTTGCGCCAGACTATCGGGTGAACGCTGTGATCATACTTCCAGGGCTGCATGCCAATGATGGCACGGGTGAAGTAGGTCAGATCATCCAAAGTGCGGGCCATTGGGCTAAAAACGCTAGGGACACCCTCTTGGCCGGGCATGCTGGTGTTGACACCGGCCTTGGGCCAGCGACCAGTGGAGCAGCGGAGAGAGTAGATGCCGCTCCACGCAGCGGGGACACGGACAGATCCAGCGACATCGGAACCGATGCCGATTCGACCACCCTGGGCGAGCAAGGCTCCCTCTCCACCGGTTGAACCACCGGGCGAGTATGCGGGGACATGTGGGTTGCGGCAAGTGCCCCAGAGCCCGTTGGCAGACTCAAAAGAGAGGAGAGTGATTGGCAACGCGGTCTTGACATATGGGACCGCACCTAGAGATATTCAGGAATTGCTTATCTTATCCACTGTGAGGTTATCTTACCAGCATCCTTCAAGAGCTTGACCAGGGGTCCATCTTCCAAGAGAGGCCTGCCGGTCAAAGAGGCGTAGCCAACCGAGGTATCAAACCCTTTGACGTTGATTGAGTCCTTCAGTGAGACAGGTATGCCAGCCAGAGGACCCTTTAGGTTGATGTCGGAGTCGAGCCACGACTCCGCATCACGAAGCAGGACCTCCGTGATGCAGTTGGTGCGTTCCTGGGCCCTCTTGGCTACTTTGCCATAGACCCGGAGAATATCATGGGGAGAGACTGCTGAGTCTTGAACATCGTGGACTAGTTCCTCAATGGGCTGGTTAATGACTTTCTTGTCATTGTCGGTGATACGTAGGTGGTAGGAGGATGGAAGGGCTGCGAAACGTAGTGTACGCTCTTGTTGCTTATCTTTCCTAGTATGAATTAGCGTATGCGTATCAAGATAGAAGAAGGACATACCGTATGCGACGGTAGGAAAGGTAGTCAAATGGAGGCAGCATTCTGGCGGTGTGATGAAAGAGGGAGGGGACGCGGAGAATCGGAGTTTATGTACAGAGGATCCGGGGGATGCGGGGAAGCGATAAGAGCGCGGCCGAGGTTAGCCGTTGCGGCTGTTTCTCAGCTCTAGCGTTGTATCACTGACCTTTACCACTGCCTCCCTATAAATTTGGAAATCAAGGGATTTAGTAGAGTGATCTTGTCTGAACCTCAAGCGGGAGGGCCATAGGGAGCATGGAACAGTCGATATTCTGGGCACTACTCAAGGGGTTTATCGTAGTTATGAGATAAGAAGGTGTACACTATTCCCCTTCCGGTAGGTCGTCCCGAGCCAAAGATGGGGGTATATGATATACAAGGTCAAGATCCTTCTTTATGATATGATAGTATGTATTGGCAATGTGCCCAGTCTTATATGAAAGCCATCTGAAGGAATCCGTGTCAAATTCAAATGCCAATGCAAACGCCATGCCGCTGGAGAAGCGGCGGGTATATCATCTCCAATTATGCAATAACTCCACAATAACGCCCTCGATCCATGTTGGTTGTTTTATCTATGCTGTCGCATCAGGGCCGGGTTGAAGCCAGTTGTTCTTTGCTAGCCACCATATAACAACACCGGCAATGACAGCGAAGACGACAGCGAAGAAAATGACAAAGCCGCAGATAATGGAGCGCTTGCGCTTGCGGCGTTCACGGTAGAGCCATGATTGTCTAAGAAGAGGGGGGAAATGTTAGACAGCGCCTGATGTTGCGAACGGGTGGGTGCTCACGTGTCCTGCTTTTTTGTTTGTTGGTCAGCTGCTTTGGACTCTTCATCCATGTGCACAGCAGTAGAGAAGCGTTTCCAGAAGCATGGGTCTCGGACAAGAGCCATGTTGGTTGTGGTGGAAGTAAGGTTGTTTTGTTGTCTTAGTTGATTGTATCAAGGGGCCTCAGTAAGCTGACCAAGAGAGTCGTCGAGACCAGGCAAGGGCAGCAGGCGGATCGAAAAAGAACGTAGAGGATAAGGCTTCAGGTGGGAAGCAAACCGTGATGAGTGGGAGACACTGGCTTGGTAGGAGAAAGACGATTTTTGGTGGCAGGCAATAGCAAGAGACAACTCCGACCGGAAGACGGGGCGGCGGCTGCACTTATTGCAGATAAAGAGGCCCCAGCGAAGGCAAGGACATGCCGCGTGTGGAATTCTACAATGTACGACTAACTAGAGGCACCCAAGCCTGGGATGCCAATCTGGGCAAGATCCGCCGTAAAAATACCCGAAGCCATGCCGCGGGAAGAGGAATCAAGGCAGGAGATGTATTGCCAGGCGGGAATTGATGGCTGAGATTCGTTGTTGTCTTTGTTGAATGCCAATAGCAGATAGGCATGTCGATCGTGGAATGTCACAGCCCAAGTCAGATATTTATCGGCGACGGATATTTAGCAATCTTACATCCAAGGGGTTTGATTGGCAGATAGACGCTGAAGAATGTGGATCTTGATTAATCTGTACCTCGTACTTCGACTTGTGTATTTAATCTCTCAATCGGCGAGGGCGTGCTTTCATGTGTTCCTTGTCAGGGCATACGAAGTCTGCCCGTTTAGTTTTGGTCAACGTCCCAGGTGCCGCGTGTCACCTTCAGTCTTTCTAAAGTTCGCAACCCATAAAACCCTCATTTCGAACTGGACGCTGGGTAGATACCAATTCAATTGAAATATCGATAATAAGGTGTTTTCCTCTTTTGTACTCTGGATATTACATAGCAAGCTGCCTTGGAGGTCCTATCATGTTGCGCATATCTCAACCGGGACCGAAATTGACAGTCTCGACCTACCTTGCGTCCGTCCATGAGCTCCGTAGACGAGAGTCGCCTTAGAGGCATATGCTCGAGATACCAAACAAGAATGGAAAGTAGGTGGGTAGCTCCGATGGCTTGGGAGTGAGAGTCGGGGCTCAAGCAGTGTCACATATGGCGTATGGCCGTGCTCCTTGGCAGCCTTCCACTCCACCTCCACATCGTTTTCTGGTGAAAGAGAAACACACTCTGACCAGAAGTCATGTCGGCTCCATGTGGAAACATCCGATAGAAGGATAGTCCTGCCATGGCTCCAGACCGAGGAAGGTCACGGCTCGGAGTTGAAACTGGGCTGCCTGTAGGCTTGGTGGGAGTTCGCCTTCTCTTCGAGGCCTAAACTGAACTTGGATTAGTAGAGTAGTTGATGCCTCTCCACTTCGTTCCTGGGGGCCTCTGGATCCCGATTGCTGGCGGCTGAGTAGAGCATGCGAAAAGTTGCCAAACGAACGCTTCATCATGCCCCGGGAAACCTTTATTTCTGACCTGAGACGATACTACATGCTCTTGTTCGGAACTAGAATCGGAGCATGTTCTTCCCGAGTCGGCATGATCTGCACTTGATGGACGAATTCCTGGTTCTTTTCGACCGGTTTGCATTTTCACACCTTTTCCATACTGCAAAATTGATGCTGTATAAGACACTCACCATGTCTGGTGACATGTCGCCAAGCCTAGTCGACTTTGAATCCTAATGGTCAAGGCTTGCTGGTAGTTTTAAATGTTGTTGTTGGATGTGGGGGTTGGAGCATTGGTGAGAACGCTTTGCACTGGCAATTGCTCATGGACCACGAAATTGAAATGAAATCGATATGTTTTCCCTGGCATTAGGGTTTCTGTTTTCCTGTTTCCCCCAGAGAGAAATTAATAGGTGAAATCATGGAAAGGAGTTTCTTCCGGAGTTGGCCAACTGAAAAGGCAATGTGCGTGTTCATATTTTCGACCTCTGTTCGTGTGATGCCTATTCACCCCAAATTAGCATTCCAGGAAGACCATTCAACAAATCAAAGGCTAAAACTCACCAACAAGCTCAATGCTTATCTTTTCTACGTTGGTCTCTTCGGGTGGTGTGAATAAATCATCGTCGCTGATCGTACCATGTGTTTTGAAGACTGAAGAGCCCGACAAGCTGTGTATGATAAATTCCACCTTTGGAGGGCCCATCTGCGATCACGTATGTTATTACAATGACCAAAACTGTGTTAATTGCAAAAGTACGAGTACTTCTAAGTTATTAACTAACATCACTCATAGGACAAATTGAAGTCCGGCAAAATATTTTCTCCCCGAGAATATCTGCTAGCAAGAAGTTAAGATGAATCCAAGAGAGACTCCAATATACCCGCTCTATAGGCAAATTTGGATCTATCGATGCATGTTATCAATATCTACGGTTAGCCCTGGAGGTCACGTAAAATCCCAGGCAAGAATGCACCTGGAGTGAACTTGAGAACTTTAGAAGTATGGACACTTTTCTTGAGAGCGGAGAAAGTCTGAACCTCCCTTAATAGTGGGGTCTTTTCAGAGATTTTAGGCCTGCTTGTATCCTGGAGCCTTCTATAGTTGGGATCTGCACTAAGAACTCAGTGTATGTTTAAGTGCCCAGGTGGTTGTTTGAGATTTACCTCCTGGGCAATTTATAAGTTAAGGTTTAGCTGTTTCAAATGATTGATTCCCACTTCTCAAGTTGCTATATATTATTCAAGTTATACAGATAGTTTTTCACAAAAAGAGATAGACTTCAGGATGAAGAGGTTGTCCGATCGTGTAGACTTCGTGGTAATAAGCAGGTTGTGTGGCATTGAACCGAATGAAAATCCATGGATGTCTCAAGTAAGGGTTAAATACCACAAGCATATGGCCATCTCGCCGATCTTGTCGGAAAGTGTCAAGTCCTCTAGTGCTAGTACATAACCCCGCATCAGTCCCTCCTCCACTTGAGCAGGGCTGAGAAGACCACCTCGCCACAGAGTATCCCCTGTGGACTTGAGGAGTAACAAATATTTTCGGTCTCCATTCCAAGGTTTTAAATCTTTTGCATCAAAGTCGATCAATCAGCATGTCGAGGCATATTGATCAACTACCGATGCCGGCGGAGGTGCAGCCTATGAAAGTTATCGTCGCAAGTCCCAGTCGGTATGATGCAATATTGAGCCAACGAATGACTGTCGACACTCACCAAAGTTCATTCTTTAGCTCAGGTACACTAGGACTCTACCAGGCAATGCAAATCCTGGGATTTAGGACATATCATCTCTACGAATGTATCGCCAACCGCGGTTTATCTCACATGAAAGTGTTTGAGGAAGCCGTGACCGCTGAGCATAATAGCCTTTCTGGAATCAAGAAATACAACAAGGCTGATTATGAGAGATGGTTGGGGGACTACGATGTAAGTTGAATTTGTGTCGGAGAAACGTTGGGCGCAACAAATCGCTCATTGTCTACTTGAGTAGTGCATCGTCGAGGCTCCAAGCTATCTCGGCACAGGTCTGATCGAAGCTTATGTCAACGATCCCAATGTGAAATTTATCCTCACCGAGCGAGATCCAACGAAATGGGTGACTTCGATAAACAACACTATAGGCCCTAATGTCGAACTGTCGCGTAAATTCCCATTCGTGATTCTGAAGCACTTTGATGCAACCTTGTTCCATACGCACGTTGTCATAGATACCGTCTATCGAGTTATGTCCGGAGGTACAGCGCTTGGTGATGCAGAGAATACCGAAAACATGCAGCAGCATTATACTGAGTAGTATGTGTCATGTTTATATATTCTCGGCTTTCAAAGCTTCGAAAATTGGAGGTTCTGCTAACACTGCACTCAGTATCAGAAGAGTGAAAGAAACCGTCCCCCCACACCGGTTATGCCATGTTCGACTCGAGGATGGCCTCGGCTGGGAGAGCATTTGCCCATTCCTAGGTCTTCCAGTCCCGGAACAAGCATATCCCGACCGTAATGAGCCTGGGAAGATGCAACAGTTGACCCAAGAAATGTTCAAGCCCATGCTAGTGACCGCTGCCATCAAACTGAGCGCCTTTGTTGTTCCAGCAGTCGGCATTACTTGGTGGGCTGCCACTAACTATGGCCCGATGGCGGTTGCAGCTCTTGGAAAAACCCAGTGAGGTCAGAGATGTGCGCCTAAATTTCGTCTTTATTGCAAGAATTGAAAGAGAATGGACTTGCTATTGATCATAATGATGGATGATAGTCCAAGACTCACCAAACACAGACCACTGAGCAAAGTAGAGCGACCAAGAGCGCGCGGAGTCAAAAAATGTAGTATTGTACGAAAGTGTATAGCGTCCACAAGGTGAAAAGTCCGTCGGATATCTTATGATACCTGAGGCGTCCAAGTTTTAGTCCGGCAATAAACTATGATGCCTGAATTACCATTACACCCGCCATAGCAGCCCATGTACTCATGTTATTTCAAAAGCAATACTTCCCAGAATAGGAAGTAAGGATCTTCGTGATCGTGGAAATGAGCTTGTTGCCAAAGATTTTCCAATCCAGTATTGTTCTGTTGTCTGAATGGCTTCAGATCGGTCTCACACAGTGGTTTCCACGGTCGGCAAGTCAGAAAATAACCTCAATGCGAGCTGAGTAGCGTCACTATCGCCAAGTGCGGGTTACAATATTTAGTATGAGGCGGTCTAAAGGGCGGTCTGTAATAGGGCATCCAGGGGAGTTTCAACCCTTGAGCGCTATACACCTTCGTAAGTATTGGCCGCTGTGATTCGCCACTCGGCAACTTGAAAATTTCCCGACCGTTCGACTGGAGCACCAACTGCATTTCGGCAAAACTGTCATTTACAACCTGGGTTTCAAATTGTCGCGTTCTTTTCAATTCGCCGAGATGAAACACAAGAGTGAGGCAGCCATTAGGAAACAAAAGAAGTCGATAGCGTGAGTGCCACCGAGCCCCGGCTAGACGCCGCTAATGTGAGATGCAGCTGTCAGAGATGCCATACCCACAAAATCAAGTGCACTGGAGGCCAGCCTTGTCAACGGTGCCGACAATCCGGTATCTCTACCGAGTGTCATTATGTAAATCGTGATCGCCAAGTGAAAGTACATGAAAGGTACGATCCACCTAGCCGCTGCCGCGCAGAGCTGATGACAGTAGCTATATTGAAGAGCTAGCCGCCGAGAATCAGCGTTTGCGTGACCAGCTATCCCAGTCGCCTGGATATATCACAGCAAGGGGGGACCCTCCATCTGAAGGTATGTTGCCTAACTTCGTGATCCTATGATTCCGGGTCATCCTCGCTCACGGGTGCGTAGATATAACCGAACCGGCAGATAGACATGTTCAGAACCCAATGATTGGGAAAAGAGCATGGTTCCAGCCATACGATCCATCCTTGCCGCCAATCCACATTTGCGAAGCAGCATGTACGGCATTTGCCACGAGGATTCGGAGAGTTCTCACAAAGAGTGAGGCAACATCTCACATAGCTCGGACCCAATACACATGGGAATCCACATTGATGAGCATGCGTAATCCGGGAATCCAGTGGCCGTCTCTTCCCCAAGCTCGTCTATTGATCCAGGTCGTCTTCAGTCAAGTCACCCGCGTGTATCATGTCGTGCTTCGAAGATCCACGCTTGATCAGCTCGAAGATGCCTACCGAAAGGCCAACTTCAACGACCCTGTACTGACATGCAAGTTCTTCGCTTTGTTTGCTTTGGGCGAGGTATATTCCGCGCGATCCAATTCCAGCATTGACTGCAAAGTGCCCGGTGTGGCCTATTACGTCAATGCGATAATGCTGATACCGATTTTGCCTGAGCGTCCAAGCTTGACCCATATTGAGTCCCTTCTGATCTTGGTAGGATGAATAGTCCCTTTTAACGACCGATGCTAATACCCACAAGTCGCTATATTCATTCTTCTTGAACAGGCGACATTCAGCCTTTCTGCTGGTGGGGAGTGCCATGCGCTTGGGCTTAACTCTGGGTCTGAACCATGATATACCCGAAGGCAAGTGCCCATCTCCAGTGGACCGGCAACATCGTATACGGCTATGGTGGGCGATATACGTATTTGATCGAATGTACGGGTCAAAGGCTGGATGGCCGATTCAAATTGCGGATGAAGACATTTTTGTCCAAATGCCGTCAAAGGTGGTGGAGGATGTTCATGATGATCATAACTCGGATACTGAATTTCTGGTTGCCAGCATAGAATTGGCTAAGATAACTGGACAGGTCATTGACCAAATTTATAGCCGCAAGAGCCACGCGGATTCATTCTTGCAGCGGGAACAAAAGCTCCTTATCGCACTCAAAGAGTGGTGCTTTGCTCTCCCTCCGCCGATACGACTTCATCGGGACGGCCCAGCTCCAAAGAATGTAGTCTCCTTACATCTCCAATTCAACCAGGTGAGTGGGAACAATGTTGAGGTGGGTGATGGTTCGCTAAGAAAGAACAGTGTATCATGTTAGCAAGCCGCCCTGTGCTTCTTCACGCTCTCATTCAGGCCAAATCCTCGAATCCCGAGGATGACTTACATGCAACCATTCGACAGACACTCAAAACACTCAGTGAGGCATGTATACACTCTGCCCGGAACACCCACTCTCTGATAATGGAGGAGTGGATCAACGGATCGCTTCCGATTTTCGGATACTTTTACGCACACTACCTGTTTTCTTCGGCCCTGGTGATGGTCGTTTCCAGCCAAGTGTATTCCGAAAACGCCAATGATTTTGCTTTGTTTGAGGCAGCATTTGAAATACTGCGAGCGATGAGCGATCATGGAAATCTTGCTGCAGCGGAGTTCTATGATAATCTGGAATGTGTCCGACAGTGCTTGGACCCAGGCATTCAACCAGAAACCGGAGTTTCTGAACCGACTGGAACTGTCCGAATGTCAAACAACTCGACCGAGCCTCTTCCCGTAATATCATCCCAACAAGCAGGGACTGTGAGAAACAATAGTGCCCCTTGCAACCCGGATACAACAGCCGGATTTTCGACCAATGATATGGCGTTCCTGGGTGAAAGCATGGAGGAATTTTTGGCACAACCTGGGGTTGACTTTGACCTGGCTGATCCGTCTTTTACCGACGGAGTAGATTCCTGGCCCAACCTTTCCTTATGGACGGGTTGAGATCGCTGAAATGGTCCTAATTCACGTGCGACAGATCATCAACTGTACTGAGAGAAAGGGGGCAAGAGTCCTGCAGCCCGTCCATCCCCGAAAGTGGAGAACAAAAGTCGAGTGAGATATATTCTGACTCTCCTGACACTGTACGGTGCCAGGTTGCATGACAGGGGCTTCCTGAACAGTCTAGCGGCTGGGTCACGCTGCGCCACATTAGGCTTGTCACGTCGTTCAGTTTCAGTCAGGCATCAGTCACATGTATTGAAGCTGAATATAATCAATCTCACACAATCTCTCATCAACACCGCATTGATATCGATGAATTGTTCGAGATCACTTTTAACTACAAGCGTATAGATCGCATTCTTTGGTTTTCCCCCGCAGTGGGTCCCGTGCCTGACCGCCCCTCGCTGCCTATTCTTTGCGCCCAATCTCAACCTGAATATGAGTTGATGCGTCTGCTTGCAGACTCACCTTGATCCGATGTCTTCTGCGCAGGATACCTGGGGTACGCTGATCAATTCCGACAAGAGCCCCGCCCCGCTGCTCGAACAGCTATGTCTGGGAATCGCCCAGCTCATGGTGAGTCCTCCTGGATTGACCCGGGTGGAGATGTGCTGACAGACAATAGCCAACATTTGACCAAGATGGGACAACCGATATTACCCCAGAGCGAATGGCGGCCTTTTATCGCAAAGTCGGCGGAAATTACGACCCCTTGTTTCTCGAGACCAAGACCCAGGCCTTGTCCTTCATATACCAGTCGTTAGGATGTTTCCACAGCTTACAGCCCTCGTCCAATCCATACGAGGCACCAACGATTCCATCGCTCCTACCCACGGGGTTTGTGCGCTGGCAGACAATACAGTTGCTCATGGACCCGGATGAGCACTCAATGTACCTACAGAACGCGGTGAGTCTTTGGGATCTCGCAGACTCAAATGGGGAGCCATTTCCCAAATCAATACCACGGGACGCATTCCCATCGGAGCCAGACCCAGAGATGCTTGAATGGCATGAAGGGGTAAGTCGGCGATTAGAACACGACTACTTGAAAAGACACACAAAACGTGCTTCGCCGCCAGATTTCGGTACATATCATTATCATTTCAGTGGGAAAGACCCTCTACCCGACGAGGATGATTATTTTTCACGGACTCCACCCCGCAGCTCATCGAAGCGGGAAAGTCACGTAGACCCTGACCGGCCGAGTGGACATCGCCATCACCGCCGACACCATAGCGGGGAGTATCCTTCCAGCTCTGGACATAGACAATCAAAGGCTCGGTCCGGATTCTCAACGCCACGAGTGTCATCACCACCCCCGTGGGGCGATCGCACACATAATACAAGAGGTCGAGATCAGGCACCCGGACGCGGTCATCCGCTAAGCCCGGGAGCCAATGAACCAGAAGTTTTTGAGGCATCCTCAGATGAGCCCCACAACCCCGAGGAGCCACCACATACCCACCGGCACCGTGAAAGGCGCCACCTCTCGCCTCCTTCAAACAGCAATGCTAGACGGCACTCCCATGAGGCCTACACTCGGCGACCCTTCCGAGATATTTCGCCGGGTCCCCGGCGCCACCGACGCAGCCATGAAAGCCATTCTTCGCGCTCCAGCAAGTCTCATCCAGAGACATCTTCAAGGCACAAAGACCCACCTCGCACCAGAACAGCGGGTGTCAAGTTCCGTGAGTTCATTTTCGGCGATTCAGCTCCAGCTCCGGCAGCCCCCTCCCCTCCACTTTACCGGTCTCCAACTCCTCCACCGCGAGCAGTCCCAAGACATCTCGATCCATATGCTGCGGAGGATATCAGGCGAGGAAGCTATAGCGGTGGTAGCAGTGGGAGTCGGCCGAGCAGTGGAGGGAGTGGATCCGAGCGACCGAGATCGTATAGTAGTGCGGGCATGCATCGATCCAATGGCTGGGCAAGTCCGAGGAGCTCGGCTGCAAAGCGCTATACATCTGCTGCAGTGCCTGAAGATTATGTTCCCCTACGACGGGTCCCAATATATGAACGATAATATGCCTGACGAATTTTTTTTTTCACGTCATTTTCAGCATCTGGGCAAAGGTTTGACATGTACTGACTATTCCTTTCCACGTTACCCTGAATGTTGAAACCCAACCCAATGATGTGCATCCATCACATCTTCATTACGACAGAATTGTGCATATGAAGGTTTATTTTATTCTATTTTCTTTTCTTTTTTTTTTTGGCGGGCTCCTGTGCTTTTTCTGAAATATGTTTGATCAATCGGTGTGATTAGGTGTTTTCGATTCCAAGGCTGTCTTCTGGGCTTTCTCAATGGCGTTGATCGCTGGCTGCGTTGTCTTCCAAGGTTTCTAGGGATAAAAACGGGCGAAACACTAGCATACTCATCGAATCATGACTGACATGGCTACAATAACTATAATTGTGCCTTGGATTCGAGCTGCTCAAGTGATCCTTTGCTGTTTGAGCCATTCTCAACATGCCCAAGTATCACTGTGCTCATATATTGCCAGCTACTCAATCGGTGAGATTTGCTCGTTGGAATGTGAAGCCATAATCCCGGAAAACAGCACATTTTCTCGAGTTGATATAATTGGGCGTAGAAGATGGCGTTGTTCCCAAGAGGGAAATGTTCCGCTCCGAGTTGCGGTATTGCTCAATGACAAACGCATCTTTTGCGTTAGATCCGGAAACCCCGGCATCATTCCCGGCAGTGACAGCAAGAGTACTGGCATAAGCCGGCCCCCGGACCTTCAAAAACCCAGAATCTGGATTCGGGTTGCGGGTACGAAAGAACTCGCCGAAGATATCGTGAATGAGCTGGGAATGCAGAATATCTTTGTCATTGTAATACGGGTCCACATTCTGCGTTTTGGAGTTCAGTGTACCCCAGGCAAGAAGTACATCTGAGGAGTGACATGAAGCGTTGTAGTCATTGTTAGGGGAACAAATCTCAGGCACGCTGGTGTTCGTTTGAATATGACCATCTTCAATCTCGACTTCGTATAAAGAGGGGAAAGCCGAGTCTGAGATGTTGAGAAGATGTCCCTGGGCACAGGACCATTCACTATGCGTTAAAGCATCAGAAACCGCATTTCGTACGTCATCTAGGTCCGAGGTATTGACATTGAAAGCACCGGAGGCAATTAGTTTCGGAGCTAGTTTGCTACCAAAGGTCGCTTTAAGCAAGACATTGAGTGCAAGCTGGGTTGATCCAAGATTGGGGACCTGGCGCCCGGTATAAAGACTTGACTCGTCACGGACAGTAGTGAACATGACCGGGACGCGGATTGGCAGTGACTTGTTTCGGAGGAGGGTGTAGAATTGGCCATCGATAACACCAGATCCCGAATCGTCCACCATAGGCATAAATGGCTCGGTGGCAGAGAGCAGTTCTGTGCTTTGGTAGTAGTGTGTGGCAATGCTTGATGCAATTGATTGCGTGGCATTTTGGAATTCAGTAGAGTTATCCAGATATCTGGATGCTGGGACAGATCTGAGACACTTGAGGAAACTTGATTCGGATTGCGTGTTATTGCAGCCAACGGCCTTTCCAACTTCGGGGGCAATGTAGTCCGAGTATAACCTGCGGGGGAACCAAGGAAGGTCCAAAGGCGCTGACTGCACTAAAGCAGCCGTGAAAAGACCCTTCGCAGCGGTTGATGATAGGAGCGCCACGGCGCTCTGGCCTCCGGCGGATTGGCCGAAGACAGTGACGTGGGAAGCGTTACCACCGAAGGCAGCAATGTGTTCCTTTACCCACTTGAGCGCCATTATCTGATCCTGAATGCCGTAGCTTCCGGTTGTCTTCTTTCCGGTAGAGAGGAATCCCAAAGCCCCCACGCGGTAGTTGAGCGTAACAACAACAACATCACTGCGGCTGGCAAAGTTGCCACCGTCATAGTCAATCATGGCAGCACTTCCCTTTGTAAATGCACCCCCGTACAGATAGACCGCCACAGGTCGAAGGGAAGTTTTGTTTGTAGCTTCCATGGGCAAGAATGGAGTGTAAACGTTCAAATAAAGGCAGTCTTCGGAGATATCACCTGAGTCTAACGTGCCAAAGCTTGAGACTGATTGGATACATGAGTGTGCCATGCTGGTTGCTTCGAGCTTCTTGGATCCGTTGTAGGCTTGTGGTGGTGCAAATCGCAGGTTTTTGACCGGTGGATTTGCAAAAGGTACCCCGAGAAAGCGGAAAGAGCGTGCATCGCGGTACCCAGTAAGCCTATATCCCTTCGACTCGACGGTGAGTTTCGTCTTGTTCCTGACATTTCGATCCAGGTCAGTTGTTGGAGGTACAGTTGAAGTGCAAAGAGGTGGTAATCTTTCTTCGCATGGCCTTTGAACTTAGGGGTTTAGGGGTTTAGGGGTTAGGTTAGGGGTTAGGGGTTAGGGGTTTAGGGGTTTAGGG